TAGGGTCTATAGGGTTATATAAGGCTAAGGGTTCCAGGTTTAAGCTAATTCCCCTTGTTGTTTGAAGGGGCACTGGGGGCGGGCTCACGGTTTCACCGGCCTCTAGTGTTAGCTATGCCTTCCCCTTTTTGCATCCGGACTCCTGTGGGTGTTAAGCCCTATAGCCCTACCCAGGCTACTGCTCTCAAACCTGCCGCCAGGTAGCTGAGTTCATTGAGGCGCCAGGGTGCATCTGCTGGCTTGCTACTCGCCTGGCTGGAGCTTCATCGAGAACTGTGTAGACCCCAACTCTGAGTAGGCCCCCTTTCCCGAAAGTGCCACCTACAGTATTTTGTGGGAACTGGAGCCGAAACCACATAGGCCCGTGCTGAGAAGCGTACCGGACTCGGCAGGAGAAACAAGGCCGATGAGCTGATCGCCAGAACCCAAACGCCAGCCGCCTGTCGTTGCAGAGTGCGCAGCGTGCGAAGTGACCCGGTTCACTGTACCAGGGTGGGCTTCTGGACCATGCAATCCCCAGAGAAAACCCTAAACCTAAACCCTAAACCCTAAACCCTAAACCCTAAACCCCAAACCCTAAACCCTAACCCTAAACCCTAAACCCCTTTACATAAGGGCGCCACTGGCACATCTCGGCACTGGTAGGAGCTGTGGGGCTTCAGCCCAGCTGAGCATCCGGCTTGTGCGTGCCATATTGTCGAGAAGATGCAAGGCCCAAGCAAGGAGCCGACCTTTCGGTTTAGGGTTTAGGGTTTAGGGTTTAGGGTTTAGGGTTTAGGGTTTAGGGTTTAGGGTTTAGGGTTTAGGGTTTAGGGTTTAGGGTTTAGGGTTTAGGGTTTAGGGTTTAGGGTTTAGGCAACAAGGACCATGGGACGTTGCAAAGCAAACGAAGCAAACTGGCGGGCACATGTTATCATTTGCCCAACATTTTTGAAAGCAGGACCTACTTAGCATCCTCTGCTCAAGTGCTTTCACCTCGTAAACCGAAGCCCAGAACTTTCCTCTCTTGACGTCCCTAAACCCCTAAACCCTAAACCCCTAAACCCCTAAACCCCTAAACCCCTAAACCCCTAAACCCTAAACCCTAAACCCTAAACCCCTAAACCCTAAACCCTAAACAACTCAAAGCACCAAGCAAGCAAAAACATGGCAGCCCACCAGGAGGCACAGTACCGGTGGGCCCTGGATTTGCCCGGACCATATGGCCTGGGTCGAATCACGGTTTTAGGGTTTAGGGTTTAGGGTTTAGGGTTTAGGGTTTAGGGTGTAGGGTGTAGGGTGTAGGGTGTAGGGTTTCTGCCACCCGTCTAAGATTCTAGCAGTCGCTCCACTGGAGGGTTTGTTGAGAGTTTAGGGCTGTTTAGGGTTTGGACCGAAAGGGCCGATGATACAGCTGGGGACATCAATTGAATCAAGTGTGCTGCTGACGCACGGCGTTGTGCCTAGATCCCCAACCCTGTGTCTGCAATGGCAAGTCTTTGATAAAGTGCGAGATTCCATCTTCATCAAGATCTCACCTAGCCGCCATACTATAAAGAAGAGGCATCGTCTGTATGCTGTGCTCTGTTCCTGCTACAGAGCAGCGTAGTCCATCATATCTTTGACGCTTCTGGTTGAGGTCCAACCCGAAACCCTGCATCCCAGACTGCAGTAAACTGAATCAAAGCCCCATGTACGACCATCCCCTCTGGGCCTTCTCCACTTCGGTGGCGCCAATTGAGGCATGGAAATCCTGAAAAGCGGCTTCAAGCTTCATCAGCCACGAGCGGCTTAGGTGATTTGACAACTTGAGGAAGTGGATTTCACCCTCAACCCTAAACCCTAGACCCTAAACCGTAAACCCTAAACGCGTGGACAGCACCATGGACTGTGGCCGCTGTTTGAGCGAAGCAGCCGCCACGTACTGCATGAGGAGCTGTATGGCCACAGAGGTGGTTACGAAGCCCCAAATCCTTGTACCACTGATGCACAGGCTTTCGGGGTGGCTTCTCCTATTCAACTCGTTCAACCTTGTCGTTCCTTCCCCTGAGGCAAAGGTGCCCAAACCACCTCTTTCACAGATGGGGGACCCAAATAAGCGTCATAAGTTGGACCTTGAGGTTCGGCAGCCCAATCTGTTACAGGCCCTGAGCAGCCATATCGGACATCTTCAGTCTCTAGCATCCAGATAGAGCTCCTGAGAAACTACCTGGGGTGAGGCAAAATCGGCTTAGGAGGAGCGATTCGTTCGCATCTAAGGGTACTTTCATGGGCCCTTAATATGGTCCCCACCTCCTTTTCAAGAGTTCGGAAGTATGGGCCCTTGGGTTGTATAGGGTATAAAGGGGTATTTCAGGGATTCCTACTAAGGGACCATGGAACTACTCTTAGATAGTGGTCATGGAGTCGGCGTTGCCGGATACATGCTTCGCTTTTCATGTTGGATGAAGTGGCCAAAGCTCTTCCACAAGCTCCAACATAAAGGGCACCCCTCTCTCTCATCTCCTATTCTTCTTCGAAATTCTGAGGCTTTGGGTTTTTAGGTACATCTCCCAAGAGGGCTTAGGGTTTAGGGTTTCGGGGCTAAGCCAGGTCCACCGAGGGAGGCCTAAACCCTAAACCCTAAACCCTAAACCCTAAACCCTAAACCCTAAACCCTTAACCCTTAAACCCTAAACCCTAAACCCTAAACCCTAGACCCGATGGAGGCCTAGGCTCATCACGAAGAGATGTTCCACCACCAAGGCCATCCCCAGGCCGAAGACGTTGGCGAAGACAATCCTCCGAAGGCTCGAGCCGTTCTCTGGGGGTTGAGGGTTGAGGGTTCAGGGTTTTTTTGGCACCCGACTAGCCACGGCAATGGGGGGGGTTGTAGGTCGGTCTCGCAGAACTGGAAAAGGATCCAAGGTTTGGTTGAAACGGTTTAGGGTTTGGGGTTTGGGGTTTGGGGGTTTGGGGTTTAGGTTTAGGGTTTAGGATTTAGGGTGTGGGCAAATTTTGTTTAAGGGTTTAGGGGTAGGGGGGTTGTACGCTGAAGGCATTGTCATTGTCAAGCCCTAGCCAACGGTTCTTACAATCAGGTATTCCTGGAATAAGGTCGACTGGACCCAACCGCTATGAACCACGGACGGCGAAAACAAGTTCAAGAGCAGTGAAGGCCGCAGCAGAGTGTATGGAAGCATGTGAAGTCAAGCGAGCTTGCTTGAGGGTGTGCTCTCCGGTTGTGGGGCTTTAGCTTAGTTCCCTTCCTGTATTCATGTGCTCCACATCTGTAGCTCTACAGATCCCTAGCTGCCTAAAAGACTAAGATGCTGAAAGGGGTTTTAGGGTTTAGGGTTTAGGGGTTAGCCACCGGCCAAGGCTCAAAATCAGTGCTGCTTTCGGCGACAAACCGCTGGTCGCTCGCTTCGTCAAATAGGTGCCAACGGGGCTGAAGCAGCCACCAACGACCGCCACCACACACCCAATGAGGAGGTTCGATGCGAAAATCATCTGTGCAAAAAGGGGCCCCCCCTAGTTATAAGTAGAGTTATAAGTAGAGTTATAAGAACCCTACAATTGAGTTATAAGGATCCTAAATTAGGTTGTAAGCCCCTTAACTACAGTTAGTATAGTAAGGGGGCCCCTCCTTGTAGGGTCGGCCGCCACACAGAACTGCTCACGCAATCCGCCTCATGAAGTGCCATGTACCCTAATTTTATGATCACAGCTGCCCAGCCAGGCCTGCACAAAGGACCCGATGCAGCCGTTTACGGTGGTGTGGACGCAGAGGATGCCACTCAGCGTCTTCAGGTCTTTGGGCACCGGCCGATGCTTGCCATTGTCTGCCATGGCTTTCGACCGGCTTTTGGGAGAAAGGCGTTTCGTTCTTTAGTCAAATAAAATCTCAAGTTGTCAAGGCAACTCTCGCATCCTGCGTGCGCACTGGAAGGAGCACCAACCATGAATGCAGCGTGGAGTTTGTGGGAAAGCCTCTTCGGCAACTTCATCCCCGGTTTTAAGTGACTAGGCTCATTGCAACACAAGTAATTGGGGAGGTCAGGGAACTCAAGTGGCGAATCTTGCGCTAGCAGCCGACCCTCTGACAAGCCATGGCGGAAGACGGCGATGTGGTGCTGGAAGTCAGATGCCAAACTGAGCCAAACTGGCTCTTCCTCAGTAAAGCCTTTAAACCCGATCAACCCTTTTGAACCCTAAACCCTAGAACCTTTTTTTGAACCCAGTCTCTTTACGTCAGCTGGCACGATGACAGTTGCATACCTTTGTTGAAGCTGGACTTGCTGACTGCCAGACGCCAGCCTCTCCTTGCCTTGCCTAAACAAGCCCTTGCTATACTAACTGCACTTAAGGGACTTATAACCTAACTTAGGATCCTTATAACCCAATTGTAGGTTTCTTGTAATTCTACATATAACTGGGGGGGCCCCGCCTTCAACCCTAAACCCTAAACCCTAAACCCTAAACCGTGCCTTGTACAAACTGAGGATCTCCTCATTGCCTCGGCAATCGAGCACTTACCAATGTCTAACTGGTTCTTAAGACATGACGGCTTTAGGGTTTAGGGTTTAGGGTTTCGGAGTATATGGCACCTGCCTAGCCACTGCGGGGCAAACTGGAGAAGGAACAAATAAGCTGAGCTTAACGTTGAGGTACTTTGAGGGCAAGTATAGGATGTCCAGATTGCTGAAGAGCTGCGCCGCCTCATGCACGGCAACCCATGTGTTTAGGGTTTCCCGGTGTAGGGCTTCCCTTTATGTCCCGGAAGGGTCATATACAGTGGGCATAACGCGTATATTTCCGTACTTCTCGATGAAGAACCCTACTATACAAGATAACTCAGCAGAACCGCGGCTAACTCAGCAGAACCGATGCTCCGAAGTGTCGGCACCACACGAGGTCGCGCAGGAATGGCATCCTACACTGCCAAGATGCCGATTCGAGGCATGTCGATGCGGACGAGGTTGGGCAGTCCTGAAACGAACCGCCAGAAGTCAGGACGGGCAAATATACCCTGCCGTCCCCCTGTGTGCAACCACATTTTGGCACTTGGCGAGTCAAGCCGCCGTCTAAACCCTTTTTTGGGGCAACGGACTTTGAGGCTGCCGGCAACATGCAACTACTCAGAAGCCACATCCGCCTAAACCCTAAACCCTAAACTTTCCCTAAACCCTAAAACCTAAACCCTAAACCCTAAACCCCAAACCCCAAACCCCAAACCCTCGGATGTGCAACGGCCCGAAGTGGTGACTTCCGGCTTTCGGAAGCCGGTGAAAGGCACTATTTGGGTAGCTCTCTACATTAGGGTCCCGTTTGGGGTCCGTCTTTTCCGGTATATTTAGCATCCAAAACGGACCCTGATTTAGAGAACTAAACCCTAAAAACCCTAAAAACCCTAAAAGCCCTGAAAACCCTAAAAACCCTAAAAACCCTAAAAACCCTAAAAACCCAAAAAACCCTAAAAACCCTAAACCCCATTTGGTTGCGCATGCGAACTTGCTCAGGGGTCCTCCGATCCAGGGCGCGAAATCTGCGACACCTGGAGGTGGACCATGACGAAAGTCGGGTCCTCGGCGAGATTGTAGGGTTTAGGGTTTAGGGTTTAGGGTTTAGGGTTAAGGGTTAGGGGTTTAGGGTTTTTCTTGTTGCCACCCGCCTAGCTGACATTCAGGCCACGTTGCAGGGACCAATACCGGCAATACTACGGGTTTAGGGATTAGGGTTTAGGGTTTCGGGATTAGGGTCTATAGTCTAGAGAAAAGGGTTTGGGGGTTCTTCTGCCACCTGCCGAGCAGACCAACCACAGTGCAGGGTAACAATTTCGGGACGACAGAGACGAAGAAAGGATGCTTTGTGTCTCGTCAGTGGGGAAGTCCAGAGCATGCAAGGCGTTGCTAGACCCCATGTGCCTGGGTACTATACAGTACGCACGCAAAGCGTCTAGACTCGCTGTGGTATCAAGTATCTGAGGCCCCAAGCATTGTTGCTATGCCCGAAAACCCTAAACCCTAAACCCCTAAAACCCCTAAAACCCCTAAAGCCCCCAAAGCCCCTAAAAACCCGAAAACCCCCAAAACCCCTAAAACCCCTAAAACCCCTAGCCCGTTCAGGGCACATGAGAATAAGCTTCAAAGGTCGGGGGGACAGCAGGGCAGCTCTAGGGGCACAGGGTAACCCGTCAAGAGTACCTAGTTCCGATGCTCACATGCTCTGTCACAGAATAGATACTTGGAGGTTCATGGTACTTACTAACCAATTAGAGCTGTACTTATAACTGTACTTACAAGCCCCTTAAGTGCCCCAATATGGTTATAAGTACAGTTGCAAGTACAGTTATCATTGGCTAGTAAGTACCATGAACCTTCAAGTAATCGGCCACCCAGGTGCTGGCCCAGCTGCACTACTGGTGCTATCTGAGACAATGTTCCTAATCGCGTTCTCACAAGCCATCCCAAGCCATGACAATGCTCGTTGTGCTACCAGCAGCTGCCCTGGAGATTGTGAGGTTTCTGCGACGCCAGTGGGTTTGGTGTGGAGTGATGTCAGGCCCTGTCAGGCACCGGGTTTTTGGAATTGTCCAACAAGATGCCAAATTCTTGGAGGACACCGATGTGTCAAATGCTGACATACGCAACATTCGGCATGGGGGTGGGGGGGGGGGGGGGCTGCTTTGAGGAATCTTTGTTCGGACAAGGCTCCGAAGATGAACGCTGCCTTCCCATGGACCGATAGGGCCGGGTACACAGAGATCCCAAATGAGAAGTCCTGCTTCAGAAGCAGGCTTCGGTATGCGTCAGCTTCTAGAACACGCCTCCTCTGCACTACAAGCAAGTGCATACAGCTGGATGGCAAACCTTGCGGGAAATTCAGTAGAGGGTTTAGGGTTTAGGGTTTAGGGTTTAGGGTTTAGGGTAGCCTGCTTAGCTACCACAGCACGCACGAAGACGAGAACACTGGCGGGCTGTTCCGCTTGCCTCTTCGCCGAACGCCTGTTTCCACACCCCATTGGTGCCGAAGAAGATCTGGCGAGTGTCCAGATCCACAGCCACACCCACCTTGACGGGACATACTTGTTAAGCAGACAGACAATGCTAAGACGCAGCTTTTCGCCAGCTGAGACGGCCAACTCTTTGCGAATTCAAGGGTTGCAGGCTGCAGGGGTCAGAATAGAGGGTTGTGTCGGCAAAAAGGGGTTGGAACCTTGTAAAATTTACACGTCCGCGCTTTCGCCTCGCCTGCATTAAGTCCGGCCGCTGAAGCTGGGAGCTTCAGAAGAGACGACCCTTACTCGGAGGTTCACCGTACTTACTAACCAATTATAACTGTACTTGGAGCTGTACTTATAAGCCTCTGATGTGCCCAAATATGGATAAAAATAAGTACAGTTACAAGTACAGTTATAATTGGTTAGTAAGTACCATGAACCTCCAAGTGGGTGTGTGCGGCCCGTGGTTTCGGTAGATGGCCGCACACACCAGGTATCTCAGTAAGCATCCTCTGCACCCCCGCTAGAACCATCATACAATGACATGCTTGACATTCCTTGATCTTCCCTGAAGTGGGCAAAAAACACAGAACTCCCTAAACCCTAAACCCTAAACCCTAAACCCTAATCCTCAGGAACTGTAGTATCCTGTGCCAAGTGACAATGACCTCCTCCTTGAGGTGGCGATCAGCCCCTGGCAGTGCGCAGTGCTCCCCAGATCTGCACGAAACCCGAAGGCTCCAAGGACACTTAATTGTAGGGCTTTTGGTTTAGGGTCTAGGGTCTAGGGTCTAGGGTTTAGGGTTTAGGGTTTAGGGACCCCAAGCCCTTACTACATAGTCATGTAATGTGATCTAATCATGCATACCGTACAACACTATGCTGATATGCTAATATGAGGTCTTCGGGCTCTGTTTTGAGCCCAGGAGAGCATCAGATGTCGAGTCCCGCGCTCAAGCTGGCGAGCTTTGATCTCAGAACGCATCGGCTCAGCACTCCCTGCCCGATAACCTGACCTCGCCGGAGGTTCACCATGGTACACCCAAGCATGAAATCTTTAGGCCATGTCAGGATACCTGGGACGACCGAATAGCAAGAAGGTACGAGGGGTTGATGGAAACCGGAATTCCTGACGAGAGAACCTGCGCCGGGAACTTTGCACTCCAAAACCCTGCTACTCCACCAAAAAGGCCCTAAACCCTAAACCCTAAACCTAAACCCTAAACCCTAAACCCTAAACTCCAAACCTCGGGCATCTTGGGCCTGAGCCGACTGCTGGCCAGACCTGACTCCAGGCAGAGTTTGTGCCGCCGTGCCACCTGTGAACTCGGGCTGCTGAAGGGTTAGGGTCTAGGGTTTAGGGTTTAGGGTTTAGGGTTTAGGGTTTTTTTTGCCACCCGACTAGGTTTAGGGTTTAGGGTTTAGGGTTTAGGGTTTAGGGTTTAGGGTTTAGGGTTTAGGGTTTAGGGGTTAAGGGTTAAGGGCTAAGGGCTAAGGGCTAAGGGCTAAGGGTTAAGGGTTAAGGTTTAGGGTTTAGGGTTTAGGGTTTAGGGTTTAGGGTTTAGGGAGCTGTAGGGTTTGGGGCTGGGGCTTAGGGCGAGAGAACGATTCAACCCCAAAACCCCAAACATCCCCAACGCCCTAACTTTCGGCCTCAATCCTTGTGGGTCTTGTTCATTTGAAATGGCCTGGAGCCTTTGTGGCACCGGCCGCGTGCCGGATGAGGCCAAAACGGGGTGTCGTAGGGACTCCATTTCCGTAGGTAGGAGTAAACCCTTGTAAGGGTTTTTCCTAGTATACCTTAAGGGGATTCCAATGACGTCTCTGCTCGTGCTTTTCCGTTATGGCAAACGTTTGGAACGCTGGCCTCCACACCTGCTACACGCTCTGCTCCTAACAAGCTTGCCAGCTCCCAAGCATCCTCCTCCAAAATCATGGACCCTTTCAGGTACCCTGAGCTGGAATCTACAACAGCAAGAGGGATTAAGGCGCAAGGGAGACCAAAACACTTAATTTAACTGAAAACACACAAGCTAATGTATGGAATCTACGAACGCCAGAAATCTCACAAGGTCCTGTCCCACCCTCCTATGTGCAGTTCAAGAGCCTTGAAGAATTCAGGCCATCCACCGCCCAGCCGTGGACGTCATCCCCCACGCCTCACCCCAGAGTTACAAGATATCCGGGTGGGGGTAGGGGGTTGGGGGTGGAGGGGAGGGGGGTATGGGGGGGGCGGGGGTCCGGAGCAGCAAGGGTCTCAAGGGTTCCTTCTTTACCTTCATTTGAACTGCAGTGATGCTGCTACCAGTCTAAGGTTGGCCCTTGAACCTGTGCACCCTCCCCGCACCCCTCACCCCGATGACAACCAAGAACTATACTTCTTTCAAGTGATCGTCCGAGACCCTTCCCGCATCTTCCCGCCACTGGCACATGCGGGTGGGGCCTTGCGTGCTCTTGGCACCGGCGCGTACCTGTCCGTACTGTGGGACATGCCAAGATGTTGAGGTTTCGGTTTAGGGCTTATGAGGCGAGTGATAGCAGCTTGGTAGCAGGCATGTCATGCAAGACATGCGCCTCGAAGCCAGTGCTCAGCAGTCCAATCTGTGGAGCACGACAGTCCTTGCCAGGCAAAACTGGGCCAGGGTCGTGAACGGAAAGAGGTCAGGGATCGGGGTCTGTAAGTTCAATCTGTCAGCCTGAGTCAGACTGTCAGGCGCCTTAACGCGCTAAACCCAGAACCCTAAACCCGAAGCCTCAAACACCCCCTTTCCAAAGCAGCGGCTTCCTTGAAGAGCTGAACCTCGAAGAAGAAGCGGCCAGTCTCTTGTGCGTAGTCAGGGAAGCCCACTGTCACCCACTCCATCCTTCAGTCCGCGCGAACCATTTTTCAGGAACATGACTTCAAACAAGCAGGTCTTGTGTAGTACAGGAATGAAGGAGACAGCCCTCCTCCAAGGCTGCAGACATGAGACATGTCGGGCCTGCCCTAAACCCTCTAACCCTTCTTTTTTCAACCCAGAACTGCCGCAGCTCCGGCCTGAGAAGCAAAAAACCCTAAACCCTAAACCCTAAACCCTAAACCCTAACCCTAAACCCTAAACCCTAAATATTCTGTGGACCCCAAGGCCTGCAGCAACCACCCCCCCAAAGCTGGGCTCGCAACGTGGAATCTGCAGTCCCCCCGCGCAGCAGCCGCGGAAGCAGGTGCGGCCCCTTAGCGCGCAGTCTCGGTCAGAGTCAGGGGAGGGTCTTGGGAGTCTAGTTGCGACATAGCTACAAGCAGCTGGGGCCTCGTTTTACCCTAACCCTCAACCCTAAACCCCTAAACCCTGAACCCTAAACCCTCAACTCTGAACCCAAACCACTCTGGGCGCATGGATCTCTTAAGCCTTGGTCCGGGTCGTCCTGGCGCGCGTTCGCGCGCAAGCGCCAGGTGTGAAATGCTTTTACACAGGCTTGCCTGAAGTCCTTCTAACCCTAAACCCTTAACCCTAAACGCTAAACCCTAAGCCCTAAACCTTAAACCCTATCAACCCTATAAACCCTAAACCCCCGTAAGACACCCTAAAACCCCTGTGAACCTCTGGTGAGGCGCCTCGCTGGGGGCCGTGGCGTTCATGGCCACCTCCACGAGGCCCTGGCTTCTAGTTTAGGCTTTATAGGCTTTAGGCTTTAGGCTTTATAGGGTATAGGGTTTAGGGTTTGTGTTTATAGGGTTTAGGGAGGGTTTGGGGTTTAGGATTTAGGGTTGCTGCTGCATAATCTGAGGGTCACAGGCGCGATCCATGCGAACACATAGGCCAGACACGAATTTCGCTCCGGCATAGCTGGCCGAACCGCAAGGCAGGGTTTAGGGCTTGGGGTTTAGGCTTTATGGGTTAGGGATACAAGGCTTTTTTGGACGAACCACGTGTGGGGTTTAGGGTTTGGGGTTTAGAAGGGTTTAGGCGCTGAAAGGCTTTGTTTCGAAACAGGCGGTCGTGGGACTCGTACTGTGCTCGAGAATGGGAATGTTGGGTGGCCTTCTTTATGAACTTGCGCAACGCTCAGAAGTTCGGCACATGGCTTGCTGAAGGAGGAGATTCCATGGTGACATGTCCAGACAAACTCCTATTGCTGCTGTCACTCTTTGGTACACCAAGCCCACTTCATAGACAGTTCGCATGCTCGTCCACAGCCGCACGACAAGGCGCAACTGGGAACCCAAAGCACCATCTTTCTTCGATTCCACATGTTATGCCTTGCTAAGCCTTGTTTTGCCGCCTGCACCCTCACCCTTTAACCCCAATACTCTTAAACCCCGACTCCATGTAGCTTTTTTGCCAACAGGCGCTACGGCCCTCTAAGACATAACTTGGTGGACCCTGATCCCCAATTCCTTTTGGGGTTCCTAAACCCTAAACCCTTCTTTGCCAGAGGACTCTCTTATTTGCCTCTTGGACCCTATAAACCCTAAACCCTAAACCCCTAAATCCCAAATCCCAAATCCCAAATCCCAAAACCCTAAACCCTAAACCCTAAACAGCAGCCTGAAGCTCCTTGTCGTTGTACTCGAGCAGCCTTTTCTTCGAGGCGCAGTCGGGGTTCCAGGGTGTGGAGGCTTTTTTATGGGGCTTAGTAGTTGAATAGGGTTTGGGGTTTAGAGTTTAGGGTTTAGGTTTTAGGGTTTAGGGATTTGGGGTCTAAGGAGTATATAGGGCTTAATAGTTTAGGGTTTAGGGTTTGGGGTTGGTGGAGGCTTTTTTATGGGGTTTAATGGCGCCTAGGGAGTATGTAGGGCTTAATGGTTGAATTGGGTTTGGTCTAGGGTGTGTAGGCCTTTTTGGGGGGGCTTGATGGGGTCTAGGGAGTATGTAGGGGTTAATGGTTGAGTTGGGTTTAACAGGGTTGAAGTAATAGGGCTTATCTCATAGAGCTTAATGGGGCTCGTAGGGCTGACAAGGTTCATGGGTTGCTAATTTTGGGGTTAGAGTTTGTTGGGGCTTGGCATTGACAACCGCTGGGCAATGCAGCAAGACAGGGCCAGAAGGGACGGCTTTGGATGCTGATGCGAGATCCTGCCGCTTGAAAGGTGGCGTTTCGACGTGAGTGCCCTGCTTATTTTGGCATTGTAGATGCCACCCGGCCCCGACTTGAGCTGAGTGCAAATAGGTCGCACATGCCCGTATTTGTCCAGCACGCCAAGCCGCTGGTGCTGCATGCCTGCATGTAAGGGTTCGTCTCGACTTCATCGGCTTCAGAAGTTAAGAAGATGACGTGGGGAGGGGTTCCGCTCACAAATGGCTTCCTTGAGGTTAGGCGCAACTTTCCCCAACACGATCCGAACGGCGTGCTTTGCCTCAAGTCGTTTTGCAACCACGTCCCTAAACCCTAAACCCTAAACCCTAAGTGTATACCGGGCCAAAGCTTCCTGGCCTCCTGAATCTGTGGAGCAAAAGGTGCAGCGCAAGCGGACGTCCTGCAGGACCGCTACCCCTGCGTGAGACCGCTCTAGGATTGCCTTTTCTTGCGTTTAGGGTTTAGGGTTTAGGGTTTAGGGTCTAGGGTCTAGGGTCTAGGGTTTAGGGTTTAGGGCTTAGGGATTAGGGTTTAGGGATTAGGGGGGCTTAGCGGTCCCAGCGCAACGGACAATGCGGAAGTCTTGCCAGATCCTTGAGGACGAGATAGGAGTCACCGTACTGGCGCGCTTTGACCACGCCTGCACGCTTGCTTGCAGGACAATCGGTGCCCTCTTTCGGCTCACACAGACTCGAAACCCTAAAAACCCTTTTAACCTGGAAACTAGCCGAAAACCCTAAGCCTTAATTAAACCTTGGTATGTTCCCCCTTACACTAACTGCCCGTAACTACAATCCCCACGAAGGTCTGTTAGCATCAGGGGGAACATCCCACCCCTAAACCCAAAACCCAAAACCCAAAACCCTAAACCCCACGTTTCTCGAGGTCCATCTCCCCAGAGGCCTCGGTAGTCGTTCATGACGTTGAGGGCCCCATACTTGACGCGGTCAAAGCCCTTGGCATCGTCGTAGGCCCCACCAAAGAGCTCATGCTCCCAGCTCTTGCGCGTGTTGTTCTCCTGGGTTCGAGTTGGGGTTTAGGGTTTGGGGTTTAGGGTTGAGGGTTTGGGGCTTAGGGTTTGGGGTTTAGGGTTTTGGGTTTAGGGTTGGCTTCCTTCAAAGGGGGGGGAGCCGGAGGAGAACACAACACGAGGGAGAACTTACAACCAGAATTGCCAAATTACAACTGGACATTTTTCAGGGTCCCCAAAGACGTGCGAAATTGCAACTGCTTCTTATGCCAACTATCAAGAGCAGAAATACGTAAGATCCTAATATGAATGCAACGCCTGGTTGTTAATTTCGCCCGTCTCATGGTGCTTTGGGAAATGTCGAGCAATTTTACGTGCTTGGGGCTGTATTTTACATCTTGCGTGTTTCGTGTTGCTCTTTGCTGCTTTGTGTTTGTTTCGTTGGTTGTGTCCATGGTTGTTTCCCTGATGTTTTTGAGGCAGTGAGCCCATGGAGTTAGGATTTGAATCTTTGGGGGCTCGGGGACAGGACCGCAGAGTCCCCGCTTGAGGACAATTTAGATCTTATGCGCTTTTGTTGCTCGTTCTTCCAAACAAGTCCCCCCTCAACTTCTAAACAGAAAAGCCCTCAACTTCCCATCCGAAAAACCCTCAACTTGAAACGGGCCGGGTTGTACAGTCTCCCATCTCAGGCTTTGTGGTTGCGAAGCACATTCCCTTCTTCCATCCGGGGGGGGAATGGGGTCCTCTTAAGGGGGTTCTATAGCAATTGCCGCAATCTGGTGGTGATGCCTGATGCCAGCTTGCCAGCGCACGGCTGGAAAACCGAGAAGGTGCGCTTATGCCCGTAGCTAACCACCTTCTGTGCCTCACAGATGCTGCTGGTGCTGAGTGGAGCCCCATGAAGCCTACGCCCTGTGTAACATCCCCATCTAGATCTCCATAAAGTCATACCCCGCGCCCGCAACTCCCAATCTCTAACCTCCCTAAGCCCAAGGCACTGGGTCCAATGCTCCATTAGACGTTTTGGTCTCGAACTGGTTGCGATAAAACCTCAGTTGGGGCTATGATCTTGCCGAAGGCTAGATCTTACAAGCACTAAAGCCACAAGCCACCAACAGGTTCAGGGTCTAACCCCTGCCTCTTCTGGGCTTCTACAGGGCTTCGACACTATGATGGTAAGAGAGCGGGTTTCGGGTTCAGGGTCTTCCGACCCAGCCTAACCCCTAAACTCACTAAAACAAACCCTAATTATACAAGTCTTGAGGTGATTGGGGAGTCGAGGACTGGGTGGCTCGTCGCTCTCCATGAAGTGGCCCATGCGATCCAAGTTGACGTGGATGCAGATGGGTGCCATGTCCTCGTAAAGATGGCATTGATAATCGCATTAGCGTAAACGAAATAAATTGTATGAGAATACGACTTTTTTGGATTGGCCATCTTCTTGCAGATCACACGTGGCCTAACCAGAAAGCTATGCAATCGAACTGATAGCACTTTACTTCTGCGCTGTACCTGGAGGCCTAAAAGCCTAACATATATGTAGGTATTATGTTTACTTGTATGCAACTGCTGATTACTTATTCATCAAAACCATCCTGTTAACCTACCAAAACGACCCAGCTGTCGTGTCAGCGTCCTGGATCCAGCCGAGGGTGGTTTCCAACTCACGGCCCACAAAGCCCAGCTTCGTAAAGCGCTCGCGAACCTTGGTTGAGGGTTCCCAACATCTGAAAAATGTCTCAAGTTCCCAATAAGGGTATAAAATGTCCAAAGGGCCTACCGAGGTTTAGGGTCAGGCGAGATAATCGTCCACCGGCTGCAAGCAGCAGCCTTGCGCGGAAGACTGCCGTGCTACCATCTCAGCCAGCAAGATTCTGCCAAATGCAAAGCTTGCTTCATGACAACCAGGAACTCAGGAACGAACTTAACAGACCAACCCGCTAGCAAAAGCCCTCGACCTTGATGCAAGAGCTCTCGGGCAAGAAGAAAATTCAGTAAAACCTAAATAGGTATAAGCTTCTACCAGGCCCTGGCCCTATCCTGGCACACGGAATATTCCCTAGTTAAACCCCTTTCTGAATCCAGACGAGCATGAGCTGGGACCACCCAGCCGCGCAGGTGCACAGCCCTAAACCCCTCGTGCCATCCCAGTTTCATATAGGCATGCACGCTCACCGAAACCCTACAAGGAGTGGCCCCCTTACTATACAAACTGCAGTTCAGGGACTTATAGCCCAATTTCGGATCCTTGTAGCCCAACTTAGGGTTCTTATAATTCTACTTGTAGTTAGGGGGGGGGGGGGGGGGGGGGGCCATCCTTGTATATCGACAAGCAGAAGCAAAAACCTAACCCATGTGTTTCCCGGGGCCGTATGTGTTGGGGCCTGGCCGCCACTGCATGTCAAATCTCCCCCCCGACCCGAGTCCGATTTTATTCGTCAGATTTGAGACAATTCAGCAGCCGGCCCGTCCAACGGACTACCTGCTTGGCTAATACACAGGTTCAGGGTTCTGCATCGGAGATGCGAGGTGCAAGTGCACCTTACGGCGTGGTAGAAGCTCTCGCTGCACGTTCGTCAGAAATGGTTGAGCCTTCTTGTTCCAAGCACCAAGCCAGCTACAACTGCAGGAAAGAGAAACCCAAGCCGAAGCGCTTTCGCAACTCCTCTGCACCCAGAATGCCGAACAGAGCCACCACCGGCAGCATCAAAGAGGGCCAGTAGGGCAAGCTCTCCATCTCGAAAGCCGTCATCAGGATGGAGTTGTGCATCACCACAAGGCTCAGCACCACTTCGCAGCAGAGGGTGATGTTTAACGTTTGGTTTGGGAACCCATAGCCACCTGAGCCGAAAAGTGGCTGCCGCTTGGTGGTGGAGGCGAGGGCAGCCGCTACTTGTCCCAGAACCAGCGTCCAGTAGTACACGGTCATACCCCGCTTCTCAAGAACCTTCTCCTCTTCCGTGTAGTCTTCTAAGGCATCATGTGTCCGTATCAAGCTGCCGATATCTGGAGTGGCCAGGAAGTACATCAGCCAGCAAAATATGGCTTGCAGCACACCGATGTAGCCATAGCTGTACAAAAGGATCTTCGGGCTCATCATGCGCTCCAGTCGGGGATGGCGCGGCGGTCGGTTCATCAGCGAGGTTTCCGGGCCCTGAGCTGCAAAGGCCACCGCAGTCCAAATATCAGTGCCAATGTCGATGAGCAGCACCTGGGGGTTTACGAAAATAGGGGGAAACCCTAAGACTGACCCCAAATAGTAGGATTCTCGTGTAAAAATGTAACAAGGACCCCAACAAGGTACCTTCCAATTTCAGAAACCAGCGCCTGTACCGCTGCCAGTGCTTCGGGCAGCCCAAAGACTTCAAGAAAGGCGGGCAAGACTTGCGGCACCTTCGAGCAAAGTGTGTACATGATCGACTTCTGCAAGTTCTCGCTGGCCAGCCGACCCTGCTCCATCCCGGCAATTGCGGAAGAGAAGTTGTCGTCCAGGAGAATAATGTCGGCAGCGTCCTGGGCCACGGACGTCCCCCGGATCCCCATGGCAATTCCCACCTCCGCCTGCTTCAAAGCTGGCGCGTCATTGACACCATCTCCGGTCATGGCAACCACATCCCCGAAACCCTGCTGGCCGAATTGCTGGTATGCCTGGACTATGACGCGTTTGTGCAGTGGCGACACGCGGGCAAAGACCCTCGTGTGCAGAACCGCTTGACGCCAGAACTCCTTGGAACCTGGGTCGAGGTTCACGAAGCTGTCGTCCGGTGGCAGGTGTTGATCCAACTCCGTTCCATGCAGCACCTGGAAGCGCTCGCCCTCGCGCGACGGCTTCGCCACCCTGGCACAAGGAGGGGCCCCCTTAAGATACTAACTGTAGTTAAGGAACCGATAACCCTTTGTAGGATCCTTACAACCCGATTTTAGGGTTCTTATAACTCTACTTATACAACTAGGAGGCGCCCCTCCTTGCAAGGATGTTGAGCCGCAGGGCGATGGCCTTGGCAGTGTCGCCATGATCCCCGGTGACCATGACCACCTTGACGCCCGCAGCCTGGGACTTCTGGACCGCCTCGCTGACTCCCGGCCGCGGTGGGTCCTCCATCGCAAAGAAGCCCAGGAAGTCGCAGTCTTGAACAGGGAAGTTGCAGGTGTTAAAGCAGGCCCCTTGAAACTCTGCTTTTGGGGGAACATCCTGGGGGGCCAGTCTCCGCGCTGCCAGGGCAAGCACACGGAGCCCCTTGTCCATGAGAGCGCGCAGCTCGCCAGAAATCTTCTCATTGGCCTTGCACAGTTGAAGCACCCTTTCTGGTGCACCCTTCACGATGACTTCGAAGGAAGAGTCCTCTCGAAGTCTGTGCACAGTTAGCATCCACTTGTTCTCCGAGTTGAAGGGGATCTCGAAGACCACATCCTCCCGAGCAGCAAACTTCACTGCCTCTCTTGCTGGCTTGCCCAGCATGGAGGCTGCGGCTCGGCAGATGGCCACTTCAGTGGGAGATCCGACTACCTCAGCACCTCCAGCTCCAGCCTGCACGCTGTTGTTCGTGAGCGCGGCAGCCGCAAGCTGCTGCAGGCGCAGGTCGCCTCGAACAACCTCAGCCTGCAACTGGAGCGCGCCGAAGAGTGAAGCTCCAGCCGCATCAGGCACGAGAACATGTTGCACGGTCATCTCACCAGTCGTCAAAGTTCCCGTTTTATCGGAGCAGAAGACGGAGGCACACCCAAGAGACTCGATGGCATCAAGCTTCTTCACGATGACCTGCTGCCTGGACATCCTGGAAGATGCGATCATCAGAGAAAACGTGACCGTGGGCAGCAGTCCCTCTGGCACCTGAGTAAACAACGCAGTGGCGCAGTTCTCCAGAATCTCCGGAGCAGTTCGAAGCTTGGGTGCCAGGAGGTTGGCCAGGAGCACGCAAAGGGCAACTCCGCCAGCAACCTTCGCGATGAGGTGCACGAAGCTCTCCATCTGCACCTCGAGTGACGAGCGCGGGGAGCCTTTCTTCATGGTGTTCGCGATTTGACCTAGGAACGTACCATCACCAGTGGCGTGGACGACGCAGGTTGCAGTGCCCTTCAGGACGGACGTGCCGAAGAAGGCCAGGCATCGAGCCTCCATGGCAGGCACCGTCGACGGCTCAGGGCTGGCAGTACGAGGCTCGGGAATCGTCTCACCGGTCAGCGCTGCGTTGTCGACCTCCGTGCTGCTGCTGCAGTGGATAATTCGCACATCCGCAGGCACTCGCTGGCCTGGCTCAAGTAAAATAATGTCGCCAGCGACGAGCTCCGTAGGCGGCAGGTTCTGGTCTAGCCGCTGTCCATCGTCCGAGATGCGGAGGGTTCGCACGAGCTCGGCCACCTGCAGGTTGCGCAGCGCCTCCATGGAGGATTCTGCTTGCCTGAGCGGTGCTTTCAAGCCCTTTGAAGATTTATTTATGAACAGGTTCCCTTGAAACGCCTAAACCCTAAACCTAAACCCTAAACCCTAAAGTTTAATTTTATCCCAGTTGCAGTTCTGTATAACACTGCAGGGCAGCCGTGCACAGGATGACCAGGGAGAGGATGACCGGTGTCACCGGATCTTTCTCCCCCTGGTACACAAAGAGCAAGCACACCTCTGCAAGCACACCTTGGTAGCCCAGTAACCTTATCATAAACAAGGGCACCTTTTTGTTGTGGTTGGTTACTTTATACAAGGAAACTTGCACCAAAATTAAAAAGGGAAAAAGGGTACCACTGGGTTACCAAGACGCAAGCCCACAGAAGCAGGTTCAAGACACCTCCAAAGGCGATCCTCAGAAACTTCTCCCGCGGTGCTTCGACCTCCGGAGGCGTGAGCATGTTAGGGCCATCTCTGGCCAGCCGCCCCCGCACTTCAGTGTCCCTCAAGCCTCTGCTGATCCTGGAACCCTATAGCATCAAATTCTGACTTTCTAGCTGCTTCTTTGGAGTTGCAGCACCCCAAAATAAGGAAAACACTATTTCCAGAAGCAGCCAAAATAAGGAAAACACTATTTCCAAGCCATCCCTAAGAAACCACAGGCGCCGGACCGGCAGCTCTCCTCGAGCGGCACACAAGTGCCGAAGCGTCGGGCCAAGGCTTCGAGCTCCAGGCTATGGACCTCTACTCTAACTTAGAACCTTAATAAAAACAACATGTTTAATATCCTCTTGGGTTTTGTTCTCCAATATTTTAAACATCCTCTTGGGTTTTAGATAGACAAACAAAATAAAAACTATCTTTGTTACTGTCCTCTTGGGTTTTATATAAACAAAAATAGAAAAATAATTCCCAAGGGGGGAAAAAGGGACTGGGTCGCGGTCGCCGCGGTCTGCGAGCTCGTCGCCGCTACCTGGAACTTGCCCAAAGGGTGGGAGGGGTTACCATCCCCTTGATATGGAGCCCCCCCACCCCTCCCAAAAAACAAGGGAACTACTGACCCTAAACCCTAAACCCTAAACCCCCTGATTGTAGGAAAGCCCCCCCCACCATCTCCCCCCCTTCCCCCCGGCACCTGATCTCCTCCGCCGCAGTTCGAGGCTGAGCCGCTGCCTCACGCACTCCGCCACACCCGTCAGCTCATCGCTGCTTGAGCTCCGCCGGCTTCTGCCTTGGTAGCCCAAAAACCATATCATAACAAAGGGTACCCTTCTGGGTTTTTTCTTCTTGTAAGAGAACCTTGCTTACCCCAGAAAAGGGATAAAGGGCACCACTGGGCTAGCAAGCTGCCGCGCATGCCTGCCCGACCCACAACGGCTAGCTCAGATTCGCCTTGGCCAGCAGGCGTTAGCCCGTCGTGTCCAACGTCAACAGAACCAGAGCTTTCATCGCTTGAGAACCGTGCAGCGCCGCCACGCGCTGCCTGCCTTACCACCCGTGCCCTGTCAGGGCTGTCAGGGTCGTCGGTGCCCTGCTCAGACATCAGCTCCGGTGGCCCCATTGCAGGGCTGGCTCTACTGGCTCCACATCTTGGGACCAGGTTTGCGTTCCAGGGTTTCTTAGCTGTTCGTGCTCCTGAGGCGCTACGGCTTTCGGTTGGGTTTGAGATCGTGGGAGCTTCGCTTTGAGGCTTTGCCTTCGTGCGATACTGCATTGGCTGCAGGATGGCACTACCGCCTGTGCCGTGGAGGCATGCCATTGTTATTGCTTGTTGAAGGTTATGGGGCTTACAGGGCTTAAGGTTTGGTCTTTTGGTCCAGACCCGACATGCCACCTTCTGAATGGCAGCCTAGGCGCCTTCGGAAGGGAGTTGTCGTGGCTCTCAGTGCAGTGCGCGCGAACGCCCGCAAGCGCCTACAAGGAGTGGGGGCCGGGCAACTTCTCATGACCGGGCGACTGAAGGCCTTCTCGAATCCGCAACGTCAACCCCCAGCCAGCGGGGCCTTGCTAAGGGATTACTAGGTATATCTTAGGAATAGTAAGCTTTCTGTGTATATCTATCTATATATATATATATATGGACACACCCCCCCCCCATGACCCACCCAGATCTGTTTCCCTTGTAAATACCGTTTAAAACCCGCTCGTGCCCTATGCCGTTTTTTGCTACTCTCAATGGCTGTCTCTCGACAAAACAGACCCCACACGGACCTTTTTTTTGCTACTCTCAGTGGATGTCTCTTGACAAAACAGACCCCACACGGACCACAGGATTAGACGCCGACACGGGCAAAACCAAAAAACCAAAAAAACCATCTTTTTTAGAGAATGGGATGAGATTTTGAAAAAGATGGTTTTTTTGGTTTTGCCTCGTAGAAAGATGGTTTCTCATAGAAAAACCAACTTTTCCCTCGTAAAAAGATGGTTTTCCTGAAGAACACCAAGCCGAAACCATCTTTTTACGAGGGAAAATTTGGTTTCTCTATGAAAAACCATCTTTTACGAGGCAAAACCAAAAAACCAAAAAAACCATCTTTTTTAGAGAATGGGGCGGGGGTTTCGAAAAAGATGTTTTTTTTTGGTTTTGCCTCGTAAAAAGATGGTTTTGCAAAGATAAACCAACTTTTCCCACGTAAAAAGATGGTTTTGGCTTGGTCTGCCTCAGGAAAACCATCTTTTTGCGAGGCAAAAGTTGGTTTTTGGCTCCAAAACCATCTTTTTACGAGGTAAAAGTTGGTTTTTGTCTTTGCGAGGCAAAAGTTGGTTTTTGGCTCCAAACCATCTTTTTACGAGGGAAAAGTTGGTTTTTCTCTCCAAAACCATCTTTTTGCGAGGCAAAAGTTGGTTTTTCTATGCAAAACCATCTTTTTGCGAGGCAAAACCAAAAAACCATCTTTTTCGAAACCCCCTCCCCATTCTCTAAAAAAGATGGTTTTTTTGGTTTTTTGGTTTTGCCTCGTAAAAGATGGTTTTTCATAGAGAAACCAAATTTTCCCTCGTAAAAAGATGGTTTCGGCTTGGTGTTCTGCAGGAAAACCATCTTTTTGCGAGGGAAAAGTTGGTTTTTCTATGAGAAACCATCTTTTTACGAGGCAAAACCAAAAAAAAATCTTTTTCAACATCCCCTCCCCCTCCTCTAAAAAAGATTGTTTTTTTGGTTTTTTGGTTTTGCCTCGTACCTCTCTCGGGCCAGAGCCGTTCAGATTTACATGTAGCTGTCCAGTGGACGGTTTTCTTTCGAAGCACGACCTGTCATCATGCTTGGAGGCTCTTTCTTTTCAGCGGGAAAAAGTTGGTTTTGGTCAGTCTTATACTAATCTCAGCAATAGCATTCCAATTTCGATTAATGTTAAAGGGTTCCTAACCATCTTTATAGAACTTCTTTTCGTTTTACTTATATCCTTTTTGAACTTTCAGAGGGTTCTTATTCAACGTCAGAGAATTCCTGATACTTTTTCAATAGGGTTCTTATGCATTCCAGCAAGGTTCTTAAACGTTTTAAAATGGTTCTTTTGATTCCAATAGGGTTCATATTACCTATTCATTTTAGTGAGTCTCCAAGTAAATTTAATGGTATTCTTAGAAATTTGAATAGCATTCCTAGCCCTATTTATTTTAATAGTCATCACATTAAGTCTAACAGGAAGCCTAAACATTTTGAAAAGGAACCACATTGAATTTTGTAGGATTCCTATTAATTCCTTTTATTTTAGTAGGACTCTCCTTCATTTTAGAAGGATTCCTATCAATTCGTAATAGGGTTCTTATGAATTTTACTCGGGTTCCTCATAAATTCCAATTAACGTCAAAAGGTTTCCTCTACCATTTGATAATACCCTTATGGATTTTCATAGGGGAATAGGGTTCTTATGAATTTCAACAAGGTTCTCAATCATGTTAAAGTGGTTCGTTTAGTTTGAATAGGGGTCCCTCTGAAAAGGAAAAGGACTCATACTTCTTTTTTAGGATTCCTATTGGGTCCTATTCATGTTAGTGAGTCTCAAAGTAATTTTAATGGTCTTTTCTGAGAGATTTGAACAGCATTCCTGTCCCATTAATTCTAATAGGAATCACATTAATTAAAACAGGAAGCCTAGAAATCCGAACCACATTCAATTTTATAGGATTCCTATTGGTTCCTATTAATCTTAGTAGGATTTCTCTTCATTTTCAAAGGATTCCTGTTAATTTGCAATAGGGTTCTGATTATTTTTATTGGAAATTCCTATTGATGGTAGGACCCTCTTCATGTTAAAAGGATTCCTCTTGGTTTGTAAAAGGGTTTATGTATTTTTGGTGGATGGGATTCCTATTGGTTCCTATTAAGTTTAGTAGGATTTCTCTTCATTTCAAAGGATTCCTATTAATTTGCAATAGGGTTCTTGTGATTCTTATTGGTGTTGCTTTTAAATTCCTATTGATGGTAGGACCCTCTTCATTTAAAAGGATTCCTCTTAATTTGTAAAAGGGTTCTTGTGAATTTTAGTGGGGTTCCTCCTAATTTGAATAGGATTCTACTTCATCATAACAAGATTAAGAGAAATATTAACAGGATTCCTATTAAGATTAATAGAATTCCCACATTCCCGTGAATTCAAAAAGGGTCCCTTTTCATTTTCACAGGCTTCCTGCTATTCTTCATGGGCCCTATTGTTGTTCTACATGTTAATAGCATTCCTATGACGTTTGATAGAGAGTTCCTATGATTCAAATATGATTCCAAGTCATGTTTGCTATTAATTCAATAAGTTTCCTATTCTTTTCAATAAGAGTCTTATAGATTTTAATAGGGTTCGTATGAGTTTTCCATAGGGTTTTCATTCAATTAATAAGGTTCTTGTTAAATTCATACTTATGACTAGACACGGCCTCACGGTGGGTCATGGGGGGGGGGGGGGGGGGGTGAGCATATATATATATATAATGTAAATGTGATATTCTATATTGCATATTGTATACTGCATGTTATGTTTTCCACTTACATTGATTTTTGTGATATATATCTATATGTAAATGTGATATTCTATATTGCATATTGTATACTGCATGTTATGTTTTCCACTTACATTGATTTTTGTGATATATATATATAGAGAGAGAGTGTGTGTGTGTGTGTGATATTGTTACTGCAAGTAGTTCATTTGGCCATCCAACTCATGATCACTAGAAGCATTAAATTGTATTTGAAATCTTTGTCACCCACATGCCCGTTGTATACAAAACCATTACCAATCATGGTATCAGATATAGCATTCACACCTTTTGTATATCAATACTCTTATTCTTTCTTCTATTCACTTGTCTGCAACCAAACACCTGCATGCGCAATGAATTTACGCGTGACAGAACACAATAAGCTGCATGCTTATATTGTACTGTTGAAGTAGAATGGCCTGTATAAAACACAAATACGAAAACAATCAGCTCCGCAAAGGCGAGCCTGCCTAGACAGTGGGACAGGTCGAGCAAACAGACGTGTAAGCTGACAAAAAACCTTCTTGTTCTGGCTCCACAGTGACTTCGAATGGAAAGGGGTGTGACCCCAGCCCCAAACAGGTGGACTCTGCATGCCGATCAGATGACTCACGTGACGATTACAGGTCCTTAATTCGGGCTGTATAATAGATGTAAGAGTTGGGGTAAACAAGTATTTCAAGCTAGCGAACTTGGCAGGTCGACGTGACATCCGAGAAGGTAGGCCTTCCGCTGGCAGTCGGTCAGACCTTAGCTTCCGCACCAGACCCCCCGCCCCCCCTAAACCCTAAACCCTAAACCCTAAACCCTAAACCCTAAAAAAATGTAGCATCCGTGCTTGAACTCCGGGGATCATTCGAACATATTGACAGGTCAGGCTTCGCAGTTACAAGGTCTGGCACATTGGCTGCAGCTCGCCTTTCACAGAAACACTCCCCAAACAAACAAACTGCAAGTAACTGACCAAGTGTGTGCTTTCGGTGGAGGAGAATCAGCCAGGAATGAATTAGGTATGCTATCATTGAACGGAACACCGCATCTTTGCACCCTGCTACTGAAGACCCACAAGCTGCGCCACCCTCTTTACCCTGTATGCTGCCTGTATGATAGCCACGCTGCGAAAGCAGGTTCTGCACAGTCAGCTGCCAAAGTCTAGAGTCTCCACTATTCGGCCCTTGGGTAGCATCCTAAGTCCTTAATACCTAGTAGCATGCCGGCCAAGGTGCGCTCTACGGCCCGCATCTCCGACTCTGGCAGCAGAAGGGCCCAAAACGCCTGGTCTTCATCCTGCAAAGAGGGACTCGGTGCAACTGCGACACACGCCACTCACTCCCTGGGCTTCAAGGACGTGAAAAATGAGGGTCCTTGTGCTTTGCATGGAGAACGGCATTTTGAACAACCGCAAAGACAGTAAAAAGGCATAGGCGTAGTCAATGGCTTCACAAAGACTATGTGTTGACAAGCGCGTGACTTTTTGTTGTCTTGTGAAGTCCAGGGCACTCACTCACACTCACGCACACGCACCTGAAGAAAGCTAAGCCCAAAGCCCTTTTGCAACAGGCTTCTAAACGCTAAACCCTACTGCGAGTACGCTAAACCGCTGAGATCCAGACTAAAAGGCCGATCTCGCGCAAAGCCGACGCCACGGTGGCATCCTGGAATGCGAGTCGGCTGTTTGAGCGCTCTGTGAGATTACCAGCTAGGCCCTAAACCCTAAACCCTAAACCCTAAACCCTAAACCCTAAACTAGGCCCTAAACCCTTTTGAATACCAAGCCCTTCGCCCAAAGCAGCCTGGGAGTCCTTGTGAGTTTCATGACGGCAGGCTGTCGGGATCAGGTGTTTTGGGAACGTGCAGGGTCTCAACCCATATGCCCTCCGACAACCCTCCACGAAATCCTTGTGGGGGAACCTTGGGGAGGGAGGGGGATAGTATAGGGGTCTTGCGACAAGAACTATGTGAACCCAATGGTGTCAAATGGTCAGGTTCTTGCAGGTCGGCTCTTCGAGGCCTCCACACTGCTCAGCACCCAGGTGGGTGGCACCACCTGCCTGTTCAGGAGACGACATGGCGGGTTGCGATATTAGGGGGTACCTTGTTGGGGTCCTGATTATGAGGGGATCCTACTATTTGGGGGTCTTTTTAGGGGCCACCGATTTCCTACACCCCGCATGTGGTGTGGGGGAGGGGGGGGGGCCTGTTTAGAAGGCATTCTTTTACAAAAGCTGCCTGAGAACCCCCCCCCCCCCACGTCCAACATGGCCTTGGGCGAAGCTTCGGGCTCCGAATTGAGCGACCGAACATACGAACACTTGTTGAACCAGGCCTTCTCCTAGGCTTTTGAGTATCCCGAGGAAGAAAAGAAGTGTATACTCTTGGGGGGGATCTTTGCACTAGAGTTGGAACCCAGAAGCCCGTGAAGTAAAGCAAGTACACTAGCCAAGACCCCAGGGTTTGGGGTTTAGGGTTTAGGGTTTAGGGTCCACTCTCATTCCGAGCGTTCCCAGGGTCCAAAGGACCGGCCTGGCCCTCCACCGGCGCTGCTTCTCCGAGTAGCCTTGGGGCTCGCAACAAGGGGATCCTAAATAAGAGTTATAAGAACCCTAAAATTGGGTTATAAGGATCCTAAATTAGGTGATAAAGTCCCTTAACTACAGCTATAAGTCCCTTAACTACAGGTATAAGAGCCCTAAATTGGGTTGTCAGGATCCTAAATTAGGCGATAAAGTCCCTTAACTACAATTAGTATAGTAAGGGGGCCCCCCCCTAGTTAGAAGTAGAGTTATAAGAACCCTAAAATTGGGTTATAAGGATCCTAAATTAGGTGATAACCCCTTAACTACAGTTAGTATAGTAAGGGGGCCCCTCCTTGTATAGGGGCCTACAACGGTCTTGGGCATCCGGGAGGGTGGAGTCAGTGTTTCGTTGTGGGAGCAACCAGGGCTGAGACTGGAGCATGGACCAAGAACTCCGATCAGTGCAGCAAGCTTGAAACTGACACGACCACAAACCAAGCCTGCAGCCTCCAGAAGATCAAGGTTGCGGGTTCGGGGCACGCCTCATCTTGGTAGCCCAGTAACCATATCATTTTGAGGGCACCCTTTTTGGTTGGCTACTTTAGAAGGGAACCCAGAACCAAAAAAGGGAGAAGGGTACCACTGGGCGACCAAGCCAGAATTGAAGTGCGAAATCTCCTTCACATAAAGCCGAGCGGCCGAAGCCGAACTCCAGTAGCACGCCGTAGGTCACCGGTCCCACCCCGCCTGGACTGAAAGGGTTTAGGGTTTAGGGTTTAGGGTTTAGGGTTTAGGGTTTAGGGTTTAGGGTTTAGGGTTTAGGGTTTAGGGTTTAGGGTTTAGGGTTTAGGGTTTAGGGTTTCGACTCTCACGCTCGCACAAAGGCCGGCAAGGCATCGGTTGTTTAGGGTGGCTGAGGTATTCAACATCAATAGGCTCCTAACCCCAGAAGCTTCACTTCGGACGTTTGAGGGTTGGAGGGTTGCTAAACCCACAATACCCTATATACCCCAGACCCTACATATGTTATATATATATATCTGTGTATATATATACACATATTCTATGCAGACATCCTATATATGTATACATATATATATATATATCTACACCCGTATGTACTCTAAACCAAGCTGGCCTTGAAGACGTTTCTCCACCCCCACAGCGAGAACCTGCGCCTGGCGAACTTGGGAGCCTTTGAATGCTGGGAGGTGCCCTGCTGGACCGGGGTTTGCAGGTTTTTTTTTTAGGGTTTAGGGTTTAGGGTTTGGAGGGGGGGGGGGGTGAATTCGGGTTCAGGGTCCAGGGTTTAAGGTGTTGCCCCAGCTGCCGAACACCATCACCCTCTACAAGCCAGGCCAGGAATAAGGTAGCAGAAACTGCACTAGGATCTGTCCTAACCCTGAACCCTCCTCCCTCCCTCCCCTCCCCCCCCTAAACCTTATAAACCCCTTTTGCCCCCAAACCCTGCACACGCCAACCAAGCGGGGCCTCACGCCAGCTTCGAGACTTCTGGCCGTGGACGTAGAAGTGGGCTCGAACCCTGGGATGAACGGGGTCGCTCTGAGGGGTGGCCTAAAGGGTCCCCGTTTTGGTTTCAGGATTATAAGGGAACCACAACCCCCACAAAAAAGGAAATAAGGGTCTACTCCCGGCACTGGCCTAGCAAGTGTGAGAAAGCGACCTCTTCGACGTGGAGATGGTTTCAGAAGGAAAGTTTGTCGGATGCCCTGCAGCAAGACATGCAAAAACACCGGACCAGAACGACACTCCAAACCCCAAGCCACTACGTGATTTGCTCAGGGTTTTCCCCTCAACGTTTGTAAACCCCTAGGCCCTAAACCCCTAAACCCGAATCCCTTTCAACCCCTAGTCCTAAACCTTTCGTAGACCATAGGATGGCAACGAAGTCATGGATGGTGTTTCGGTCCGGGTTTAGGGGTGAAGAGGCTGTGCCGGCGAGCTCTCTCAGCTTTACTTGGCACGTTCTTGTAGCTTGACGCAGTGCTTGAACTGGACTGTAGGTCCTGGTCCAAAGCCCAAAACCCCAAACCCTAAACCGCGGCCAACACCGACACCCCTGACCAGTTGTGGTGGCCTGGAGCCCACAGCCAGACCAGCATGGTCGCAAACATCCTAACGCCGACTGGGGGGGGGGGGGGGCGTTTTGCAGGCATCGGGTTCTTAGGGCTTCTAGGTCGTTTAGGGTTTTTGGGATTTTAGAGTTTTTCAGGTTTCTAGGGGTCGTTTAGGGCTTTGGGGATTTTAGGGTATTTAGGGGTGTACCTGAAACCCTCATTGCGCCTTGAGGGTTAGTTACCACTTCTCTGGCGATACCTTTCAAGCTTTGATTTGCGGCTAGGCCAAGGGGTGCACTGGGCAAAAATGTCAATGTTGTTATCCGGCTATTTGTATATTAGACTATATTATGTTACAGTATAGTAATATATATATATACATATATATATATATATCATTCTATTATATTGTAATGTCTCAATTGTACTTTTACAAGTGCCAGATTATTTCGTACTAGGAGATCTGGAGCATGTCGGAGCTACATCCAAACATCGAGCTTCAGTATTTACGTCCGGGCATGCCGGGGCCGCGCTGCAGTTTTTCCGGGTAACGCACTTCCCTGGTCACAGAGACAGAGAGAGAGAGAGAGAGAGAGAGACTCGGAAACAGGAGAGCCAGCGAGCGAGGAGAGCCAGCGAGCCAGGAGAGCCAGCGAGCCAGAGACTGGAGACTATAACGCGGAGAGGCGACCCATGTACTGCATACACTCGCCCATCTGGGAAATACTCGGCAAGTCTGCCACGAAACGCTTGCGCGCCTTCCGACTGGATGAGATCCGCAAACGGCGGTGCTCAAAGAGCTGCTGAACGCCTGTGTCACGGAGGTCTCTGACACTTCCAGGCAGTGAGCGGAATACTAGGCAGTGAGCGGAATACCCTAAACCCTCAACCCTACACCCTTAACCCCTAAACCCTAGACCCTAAACCCCAAACCCTAAACCCCCGACATGTCCTCGTCAGGCATCTGGGAAACCGCCTCACCCACAACACATAGCTTTCCGAGCCTCCCATGCGCCCCACGAAGCCCTGGAAATCGGACAGCGTGATGCGGCCGTCTTTGTCCTCGGCGAAAAATCCTAATAGCCTTGTGGTTATGTAGTAGGGAAGCCTCTGAGACCCGACAAGCTTGGGGTTGGTTCGACTTGGAAGGCATTGAAAGGGGCCAAAGCTACAGCGTCTTTCGCGGACCATCAGTTCAAGTCACCGTCCCACAGCGCAGACCCCTCGAGGCCCTAGACAGGATGAGGTGGCACCCTGGCACTCCAAAGTCCCGCAAACCCTGGTACTTTCCAGACTGAAGTGCCGGAGCAGAATCCGACAGGGAAAGGCAGACAAAGAAGAATGCACAAGCGAAGGCAGGCTCGCCCGAGCAAGGGAAGATTCAGGCACAACATCGAAGTGTAACAGGTTAGCACAAGATGCAGGGTACTTCCCAGGGATGCGACATTGCTGCCCAAACCCCGAACCTTTCCTCTTCTTCTGCGCGCTTGGGGGCCCCCTCCCCCCGTTGCCCAAACTTTTCTCTTTGTCTTTCGTTCTTGGGGCATGGGGAAGCTCCCCGGGCAGTCCTGCCAAGCCTTGGGGCTATCCGAGCTGTGAGAAAATTAGCCCTAAACCCTAAACCCTAAACCTCCGTCAAGTCTCCAGGTCCATGAGGCTCGCCTCCTCGAGGCCCCACCCGAGATAGGCACACCTTGGGCCGCGTCTGGTCGTTTTTCGGTCAGCCGGGCTTAGGGTTTAGGGTTTTTAGGGTTTTTAGGGTTTAGGGTTTTTTTTCACTCCTAGGGTTTAGGGTTAGGGTTTAGGGTTTAGGGTTTAGGGTTCAGGGTTCAGGGTTCAGGGTTCAGGGTTCAGGGTTCAGGGTTCAGGGTTTAGGGTTTAGGGCTTAGGGTTAGGGTTTAGGGCACTCATCTCTTTTGTCTGGGTACCCTGCATAAGAGGTGCCGAATGGCAGGATGACTCGAGAAGGACCATAGCTAGAATCTGAATGCCTGTCATTGTTCTCATTCTTGGATAGGATCAATCTTGGACAGGATGTCACAACAAGGAGAATATGGCTGGTATGTGCTCTCCGAAACCCCGAAATCCTAAGCCCTAAACCCTAAACCTAAACCCTCTGGGTGAGTACATAGAAGCCCAAGTCACAACTGAGAAGAGCAGGAAGTTGGAGCTGTGCCACGGGAGTGAACGCTAGGTTTCGCCCGGTAGCGTGTGGCCCATGTGGGGGGTTTCCAAAGTTGGGGGGGGGGGGGTACCTTCTTGGCGCCCATTTCTGTAAGGGGAATCCTACTGTTTGGGGGTTTATATGATCCTACTGAAACTCTACCACTCGAGCCTGTATTGGCAAGTGGCATGTTCTTGCATTCGTCCGCGTCCAGATGCCCGGACGAATCAGCGTCGAAGCGGCGAAAAGCCTTCCCCACACGAGCAAGATTTCCAGACGTTAGAATGATTGCCAGTCCTTGCAGTAGCAGCTTTCTATAGTACATGATTTATTGCATTAGCTTACTACAGTACATGATTCATTGTATTAAATTATCATTCTATTGTTTGTAGGCTTCCAGATTCCCTCCACCCGTGCAAGCTCTGATGGCCTCGGCGATTTGGCGCTGATCTGTGCGCAAACCTCGGTGCAAGCCAAGTGCAGACCCTAGCGTTTAGGGTTTAGGGTTTAGGGTTTGGGAGACTAGAGAGGTTGGAATCTTCTCTTCGGGGCTCAGGTGCCACGCCCAAAACACAACGTTTCGTTTGGCTCCTGGGTTTGGACTGTGTTGGGATGGATTGTTGTTAAGGCTTGCGCCGGGGATGATGTTGGTGTTCAGACTTGGGTGGAGCGCTGAGTGGGTTGAGGTTCCGGGCAGGGTACCCCATCTCTCGATCTCAGGTTCTGCCCATGACTTTCGTGTGACACCCCATCGCGGTGCTTGGTGCGATGCGCGCCCAACATGAATCGTGGCTGCCCACTCAGCAGCACTTGAAGCTTCATGGAAAGTTTCAAGTTACAGGGAGGCCTAAGGCTATGTCCACCGATCACTGACGTCACCCCAAAAAAACCGAAGTTTAAAAAACAAAACTACAGCACCCAGGAACCATCCAGCAGCAGGAGTCGCAACTGAGCCAGGGGCTTGCTAACAGTCGGCGGAGTGAATCCTGCCAGAAGGGTGGCGGGTGCGGGATGCTTTGCTGGGCCCCCTTAGGGTTTAGGGTTTAGGGTTTAGGGTTTAGGGTTTAGGGTTTAGGGTTTAGGGTTTAGGGTTTAGGGTTTAGGGTGCTCTTACAGCAAAATGCGGGAAAAGTCAAGATATCCCAAGGGACTTACCCAGCATGGCCGCGTGGTAGATTCCCTAAAAACAAGTCTCCTCGTTGGATACTATAACCCCGGCCTTTGTGTTTAGGGTGCACAGATATGGATCGTAACTGATTTCTTAACTGCTCTAGAAGCTTGTGATGCTCGACACGTGTTAGGCCGATCCCACTGCACTTCTGCTGCAAGCAGCTCCTGCGCATCACCGAACTTCTTCTTGACGAAAGATTCGCGACACCTCCAACTCGCAATGCTGCAAATCTCCCTGTCTCTCGGCTTTGGCTTATGCAGCACATTTGATGTTCTGTTTGCGGGTGTGGGACCCTGCGCTTGAGGTGGGCTCTTCTATGAATCAGGTGCGGTTGTCCTCTTTTTCCGATCGCGTGCCCGCATGTGCATGTGCACATGTGCGTGCGCCGATCTGTAGATCAAGAGGTGATCTAGCTCCTGGCTTCATCTGGATAAGGCATCTCCTGCATGGCGATCGTGGCGGTGTAGAGTCCGTCGCGTCGATAGTTGATGAAATAGTCGGCTGTTCCATGGTTTCCGATGGACTCAAGGATCGGCAGCCCCAGCGCATGCCAGAGGTGGAGGTGCCGACGGTCCCGCCGGAGTTGCGCAGAGGCGAGGCGGTAGTTCCAGACCGTGTACAAGGCGACGTTCCAGTCGTTGAAGGCAGCCGAGTTCTCCATCTTGAGCATGGCACCGTCCCAGCTGAACTTCGTCAACACGGCCGTGGCTGCCGTCAGCAACCCCAAGGCCACATTCTCCTATACTCCCCTTTAGAACCCTAGCAAAAAAATATTTGAAAAATATCCTCTGGGGTTTTATATAAACAAAAACAACTCTCCCAAAGGGATATAGTCTCCTGCCGGAACTTAAGACTGGGACCATGAAGTGCATCACCCAGGTCGGCGTCCTCGGCCTCGTTGAAGACGGCCAACAGGATCTCGAAGAAGCGGAGCCACGTGAGTTTCTGATGGTAGGCCTTCAAAGACGCGGGATCCATGACCTGCTTGGTTTGAAGGTGGGCTAAGTAGTTCTGCACAATGGGCATGCGGACCAAAATCCATTGAACGATTTCCCGCTGCTTGGTGACGTTGGGCATGCGTTTCATCTCGCCCATGATGTTGAGGAGGCTGACCTCCGGATCCTCGATGCCAAGCTCGGTCAGTGTCAGAAGATCCGTCATGTTCGAGTCTGTCAGCTGCCATGCCCAGTCACCCTCGGCCTTGCCCACTTCAAAGCCCACAGCGGCCATGGTGTCGGCGAGCGCCTTCGCAGTGACGGCGGAGATGTGCTCGCAGTTGCAGCTGTTGTTCGTAATCTGCATGTCCGCCGAACCCTCCCTGATGGCGGCCTGGGCATCCGCGTAGAAGCGTGTTGACAGCTCTGCATTGGCGACGGACCCGAGCATGTCCCACATCTTCTGCGCCTCTGGCGGCATCTCGATGCTCGTCAGGTTTAGCTTCATACGCTTCGTGTAGTCAAGGAAGGTCGAGAGCAGCAGGCTGGCATAGATGTGCTGCCGACTCGTCGTGTGCAGGGCAGCAGCCTGCAGCAGCTCGAAGGTGCGGCGCACCACCGGCGGCAGCGACTCGTCGTCTGGCACGTCGAGGCGCCTCGGTTCGCCTGTGTTGTAGGGTCCCGTCGTGCAGCCTGCTGTGAGCAGCCCAGACACGCTGCGCTGCACGATGTGCGTCAGCTTCTCCACGATGTGCGTCTCCTGGAACCTCGCGGACTCGGCGTCTTTCACCTCTGCGTGCTCCTTCTCGTCGGCACCGCTGGAGGTCAGTGCGGTGCCCAGGGGATCGATGACCTCATAGCGTTGCTGTTGATTTTTGCAGAAAGGGTTCCTGCCCTCAGTGTGCTCGAAAGCCCACTGCAGCAGGTGGTCTACGCCATGACTCGTCATATTCAAGCCGGACTTCAACATTTTGTAGATGCCGGTCTTGGCGCGGGCGTGGAACGCCGAGTTCATGCCAGTGATCAACGTCTCAAGGATGCTCTGCTTACTCTGCTTCCATGTCATGCCCTCCGACTCCCCCTTGCGGTGCTTGTTCAAGCATGCCATCAGCGCGGACGGCTTCACTCCGGTTCCCAGCTGCTGCAGGAACTGGTGACTTTCAAGGTCACCGGCTTTCTCCGACAACGCCCCAGTCTCCAACGAGTACCACATCTCAACGTCCGAGGCGTGGCACATCGCAGCCGGAGTTTCCATAGCCTCATCATCAGCCTCAAGTGACGTCCGCGAGCGGATCGCCCAGGCAGATGGCAAAATGGACGCGACAATCGCGGCACTGGCCAAGCGGGACATGGGCAGCTACAACGGGTTGTATAAGAAAAGGTTGGCGTTCGCAGGATGCTACTGGATTAGACAGGCACCTCGTGGAAACCTGCCGTGTCTTGAGCATGCAATTCAGTACAGCATGTAGGCAGAATGCACATCTGCACATGATTTTGGGGCACCATGTGGCAATGTGGGAAACTTAAGCACATAAAACAGGAGCTTTTCGCCTAGCCACAATTCGGGGAACACCGTCCCCCCCACCCCCCTTGCTGCCACAGAAGGCCCTGGCACGCCAGCCAAGCCCCCAATCCCATCCCGGCACCTCGTTACCCAGTACTGCAGCGGATGGGCAGTGGATGTAGAGCCGGGCTCGAGATACCTGTACACAGAAGTTTTTTGGGACGAGAAGGCGGCTGGTTGACCAGGACTTCTGTCATGAACTGCCTACTGTACTACTACTTGCTTAAGAACCCCCCGAATAAAGACCTAAAGCATAGTTAGTAATAGTCCCTTCATTACCCTTATAAGGGAAAAAGTTTTGTTTTGTTTTTTTTTTTTGGGGGGGGGGTTCTTAAGCAATTCGTAGTGTAGCTGCGTAAACCTCCATGAGGATCAGAAAACTGGGCGAGGTCAGCATTTGCTGGAAGACGGTGAATCTAAATTTGGTGGCGTTGTCCTTACGGAATATTGTGTGATAACAGAGGCACAAAACATTCAGGACCAGCATACCGATGAACCCCGCCCCCCCCACCCCCCCCACCCCCAATTATGACACAGGAAGTGCCACCAAGCAGCGGATGCGTCCGGAGTAATTCCTTGTCGCTTCAACTACAAGGAGGGGCCCCCTAGTTATAATAGAGTTCGAAGAGCCCTAAATTGGGTTATAAGGATCCTAAATTAGGCTATACGTCCCCTAACTACAGTTAGTACAGGAAGGGGGCCCCTCCTTGTATTTGAGGCCCCCAAAAACCTCCCCATTCTAAAAGGGTCTAAAAGGGTCCCAAGGTGAGGCTTAGGGCCAGGGACCCGTATGACAACAGCGAACTCTTGTGAGCACGGAAGGATGTACTACGGAAGGAAACATGCGCGACCCCCAAGCCCCCCTAAACCCTAAACCCTAAACCCTAAACCCTAAACCCTAAACCCTAGGTCTGTGCGACATTTGCCGATGTAACGATCCATGGTTTCCTGTGATAGCTTCAACTTGCGACGTCCGGAACTGTCAACCGTGTCTTAGGGTTTAGGGTTGATAGGGTTGATAGGCCTTAGGGTTTAGGGTTTAGGGTTTAGGGTTTCGGGTTTAGGCAAATACCTGGCCTAAAGCATCCAAGACACGTCCAGCTGGAGCATGAAGCTAGCCTGAACCCAGGTATCCTGACAGGCGGATAAAAACGGCGACATCATCGTCTGTTTATCTATGCTCCCAACAGAACCCTTTTTTTCTACTTATGATTCCTTTGGGTTTATATAAATGCAAATACAACATGTATCCTAAGGCCCTGAGGGTGCTAACAGCAAGCTTGACCAAGCAAAACGAAACGCGATGGGCTTTTTTTCCAACTTCTGCAAACTTGACTGAGACGACGATTGGCGATGCCCTGTCGGGCCACACTTTCCGCCTGCAACAAAAAAAGGGTGGCCAGTTTGAGGACAGAGATTCGACGTGTTCGTGCGACGCTTCTGACCAAGGACACCGGGCTTTGCAATGTGGATATCCCCTAAATACCCCAAGCGTTAACCAGATCCTGGCTCGGGAGGCTCGCTATCTGCTGTCAAGCCCGGGGCGGTAAGGTTACACAGAGCAACCTTAAAAGGTTACAAAGAGCAACCTTACAGTCCCTTAGGGGTTTAGGGTTTAGGGGGATCATCCGATCGCCTCGAGCGTGAGGCTTCCAGTGTAAAGCCTGGGCTTCTGTGGGTTGTAGGTTTTCTGAGCTTCTGAGCCAGGTGACTTGATGTCTTGAGGACTTGGCCCAACTACTAAAAGACAGTAATGGTCAACGAGCCGCACCTAGAAAGGCGTCATGCTGTCCACCCTAGGCTCTAGGATCCATAGAGCCAGGGCCCACAAAGCAGCTCTAGGGCTTACCGAAACCATACCTTTAGCAGTTTGTTGGCCCTCAACCCTACACCCTGCACCCTAAAAGACTCTAAACTCCCCAAGCAAGACTGCCAAAGGCGGGACCAGTGGCTGCTCGAGTAAGCTCCCCGAGCCGCGTTCCATCTCGATGCCCTTGCAGTCCGGAGAGGCCTATCAATGTCGAGTCGATCTGGGGGGATGTTCGAAAATAGGAGGTACCCTGAAAGGGGGTCCCCTTAAAGGGGATTCTATTCTATTTTGGGGTATAAGAGGTGTACCCCTATTTTGGGAAATAACCATCTAGGACCCTAAGCCCTACAAGCCAAAACAAAAGTCCAACGAAAGGTCACAGGGGTCGTCCAGGAACGTCAGAACAACAGCTGTTCAGCAACGGCTGTTCAGCAACTTATAGCTTCTCTTGCTAGTGAAGCTAAGGTGACATGTGTTGGACCCGGATGATTCTGCAGGCTTTTGCTCGCGCCATGTATGGTGCGCCTGAGGAATGCTGGGAGGCAGCTGCGTTGGGAGAAAAACATCCATCCACAGCAAGGGCCCCGGTATCTCGACGCTGCGACTACTCCCAGACCCTAAACCCTAAACCCTAAACCCTGAACCGGCCTCTGCCGTGGCTGCCGTGGGTGGCGGCGGTGGTGGCGGCTCCCCAGCTCCATCGGGGAAGATCCAGGTCAGAAAGGAGGAGAGGTGGATCCGATCGTCCTGGCCGGCAGCACAAGGGAGTCGTTCACATTCTACTCTAGATGTATACTGGAGATGAGTATATATACGCTTTGCTATAATATATTCTATAACATCCACTGTGGGACTCCCCAGCCTGAACAGCACCCGAGGCAGAGGCGAGTGTCTGCACATGATGGTCCTGGGTGCAGGCGGTCGCAAGCACCAACCATCATTCCAGCTGCGATCGCAAGAGCAGTTGCGATTGTAAGAAGTCACCCTAAACCCTAAACCCTAAACCCTAAACCCTAAACCCTAAACCCTAAACCCTAAACCCTAAACCCTAAACCCTAAACCCTAAACCCTAAAACTAAAAGGCCTGAAAGGGGGTTGGCCTAATTTGCAAGGGGCTCTTTGCTTGGGTCTTTTATTGCCCAGGCACCGGGATGTCCAAAGCCGCCAGCACGGCAGAAAGGTGGGCCACCTTCACAAGAGGTGTACAAGGAGGGGCCCCCTTACTCTACTAACTGTAGTGAAGGGACTTACAACCTAATTTAGGATGATTATAACCCAATTTCGGGCTCTCATAACTCTACTTATAACTAGGGGGCCCCCTCCTTGTAGAGGTGTAATTAATTTAGACATTAAAATATGCGAAACCGCACTCACAGTCAGTACGCTGGCCAACACAAGACATCCGCGATGAGGCTACGTGCGGGTTGCCTGAATCTTGTCCTCGTGGTCTGCTAGTCCCGCTTGCCGGACACTGCCTCAAGAGGAATACGCCAGCTCGTGCATGACACTTGCAGGCAATGCCGCCTAACAACTGCCGACAAGTGACGAGCAATGCTTTCTTTGGCACTGCAACGACTGCTCCTCAGAATTGGCAAGGGTTCAGGGCAGCAGAAGCAGCAGCAACCCGTGACCCCGACACCTCCTGTTTAGGGCTGCTTTTGTTGCCACCTAGCTGCCTTCAACGACGCATTGCAGGGCAACACCGCTGGCAAAACATGCTGCCGCCGTGCTTTTACATTTTTTTGCACAAGACCTTGCGTAGCATCGGAAAACCACCAACAACCACCCAAACTAACACAAATCAAACCCACGCACCGACGCACGCATGTCAACCTACAGACTGTTCAGGCGCATGAGGGTTTAGGGTTTAGAGCTTCGGACCTTAGGGCGTATGGCATATGGCCACATCTAAGATCCTCTGCGGTGAGAAGTTGATGCCACGATGCTGTGCAGAATATCAAGGCAGACAGGGCTCTTCGCAGGGGCGCCCTGGTTGGAAGCCTGCTTCGATGCAGGGATGCTGATGATTTGGGGCTAGGGTTTAGGGTTTAGGGTTTAGGGTTTAGGGTTTAGGGTTTAGGGTTTAGGGTTTAGGGTTTAGGGTTTAGGTTTAGGGTTTAGGGTTTAGGGTTTTAGGGTTTAGGGTTTCGGGTTTCGGGTTTAGGGTTTTTAGGGTTTAGGGTCTAGCATAGGGGCCTTGTGGACTTGAGGTTGAATCGCTCACTTCTCGATCAAGCCTGAGACACTGCCAGGCTCTTTGTCTTTTTTTAAACCCTAAACCCTAAACCCTACACCCTGGACCCTAAACCCTACACCCTGGACCCTAAACCCTAAACCCTAAACCCTAAACCCTAAACCCTAAACCCTAACCCTGGGGGGGGGGGGGGTGCGGCTCTGGCAATTTGGGCTTCAGCCCTTGCTATTTGAATTGGCTTCTTGGGCGCTCGTATTTGTAGTATCACTCCGGAGGGCTATGCCCTAAGGATCCATGTACCTATGTGGTCTTTTCTTGGGCCTTAAAGGGGTTCCGAAATAGCAGCTTTAGGGCCCAAGTGTATACTATATAGATCGGTGCATGGATCCTTACAAGGAGGGGCCTCCTCTAACTGAACATAAGGGACTTATAACCTAATTTAGGATCCTTATAACCCAATTTAGGGCTCTTGCAACTCTACTTGTAACTAGGGGGGGCCCACCCTAAACCCTAAACCCTAAACCCTAAACCCTAAACCCTAAACCCTAAACCCTAAACCCTAAACCCTAAACCCTAAACGCCCTTCCTTGTAGGGATGAAGAGAAATCGACACTGCAGTTTCCATCGTGCGAAGCACGTTGCCTCTGCATCCCCGATCGGCTTGGCCGGGTCGGATGGGGGCGAGGCCACGGCCTTGCAAAGGAGGCCCCTCAACCCTAAACCCTAAACCCTAAACCCTAAACCCTAAACCCTAAACCCTAAACCCTAAACCCTAAACCCTGAAAGCTTTGATTCCAGGAGGGCCGGGCTTCCCTCTCAGATAACTTGACACGAAGCAACGAGGCCACACAATTCTATGCTCCCTTAGAGCCTTAATAATAAGAACATTCCTGATGTCCTCTTGGGTTGTATGTAAACAAAAATATAAATAATTCACAGGGGGGATATAGAATTTCGAGCTGACGTGGGTTTCCTTTTGCCGCCCGCCAAGCCTACCACTCTCGGACAGGGTTTAGGGGTTAGGGTTTATAGGGTTTATAGGGTTTAGAGGGTTTATGGGGCTTGTAGGGTTTATAGGGTTCGTAGGGTTTGTAGGGTTTAGAGGCGTGGCGTCCTCTGCAATCGCAGCTTCTGCAGTAACCTCTGCGAGTTGTTGGACGTTCCTGCCGGCGACCGACCACTCTTGCAGACAAGGACATGTAGCTTCACTTACACTCACACCCTCCTGCTTTGGTCAAATCCATGGCTTCGCTGAGCCTGCACACTCAGTCTCTCAGCATTCCTTCAACATGGGCTAAGCCGCGAAACCCAACCCTCTCCATCGCGTGCACATCAGGTAAAGTCTGAGAATGGAGAAGACTCCAAGCAGATTCCCACATGAAAGCCACATGTTCGGTGGCGAAGCGTTTTAAGCCCGAACCCTGTAAGCCCTAATTAAGCCCTAAACGTTGCGGGGTTGGCATTGGGATCAGGACCCACTTCTGGCAGTCTTTGCAAGCTGCACGGGCCCTGTGCGGATCACGTAGAGTGGCTGTTCTTGCGAATGGTGTGGAATCCGCAAAGCTGAGCGAACTAAGATGCACTGGAGATCCTAACATGATTCAGGGGAGGTTCCTTGTTGAAGAGCTATACTGGAAGACTTGGGCAAGCCCCACCCTCACTGACACCTCTGCGCTTGCGGCGTCCAGCGCGCAAAGGCAGGGTACTGGGACCAGGCGTTCACGGAAGGCTCGGCCATGCCAGGCTGCCACTGCAAACTTCTCTGTCGCGATGTGCACATCATGGTAGTCTACTTCTGAGTAATGCGGCAAGGGGCCCATATTTGCAACGAATGATCTGACGCTGGTGAAGTGCTGCCTCAAAAGCACAGCACAGGTGGTGGCACACTTCCGTGGGAGGGACGCTTACGTGAGTCTTGAAGAGCTGTCCCCCAACAAGCGGCGTTTCCATAGCTGCACGCACAGTTCGTTGAACAATTGCTTGAAGCTTCATGGGGCTATGTAACCGGCTGCACTTGAGCTTGTAGTCCTACATAGAATTATTCTAACCTGCCATAGGCATCCACTCATGTTACAGGACTCGCTCCCGCCCTCATCAAGGGAAGACGAGCACTCCTGGGCGTCTGAGATCATGGGGTCCCGTCTCAAAAGGGATCTCCTACAAGCAAGCCTCACTGAGAACAGCACGCTTGACGTTCAGAAGGATGGGTTAAGTTAGCACAGCAAACAAGCCAGCCCGTGTTTTGTGTGGTACCGGACAACGGGAGAGGGATCCTGAGGGAGGGGGGGAGATTGGGGGTTGCCCTAGAGTAGGCTTCATGCTTGTTTTCGTTTTCGGGAGGTCAGGAGGAAAGGCTCATGCAGATGCCCGGTGTCGCTTGGAAGAGATGTGGCTGAGTCGCCAAAACTAAGTTTTTCTGAAGAAGCCTGACAAGAAAATGCCTTCCGCAACCCAGGAAAGCCTAAAACCCTACCGCGATCCAGAAGTACCTTAATCTAAGGTCTGCTGGGGAAGAGGCGCAGGTAAAGCCTACAAACTTTTGATTCTATAACCCGAAGTGAGGTGACTTTCGAGGTTGCCGCCAGTCTCCGCTGCTGCTCTTCCTGGTGGTACGAGGTTGTGGGCGTCGTTTAGTGTGAGGTGTCAAGGTTTTGTCTGCGCGCGTTGCTGCTGTATACATGTCGTAGCCGGGTCCGTTTGCAAGAAAGCGACAACAACCTGCAGCTACATTGAGGGCAGCATGGCGACAATGATGATGGCAAGGTCATCACTGGTGACCCTAGCGGCTCTAGCGCGAAAAACATCCTATGCCCGACTCAGTTGACTCAGTTGCTGGTTCCTGCTCCCTTCTACTGGTCGTGCTGCCACTGTGACCGGTTGGCAAGGCTGAGATGACTTCACGACAAGTGCGACAGAACGACCGAATACGAATCACACTCGCAGGCGGCTGGATACAGTTAAAGTGCCACTGCAGTTTGTTCCATAGTTCACGTGCCACACCATCTGTCGATGCTTTGCTTCTGCTTGCTACCATGCCGACCCGAAAGCTTAGGTTGAACCAGCTTCCCTGGAGCCTTCTCCACCGTGGACTGCTGCACACGCAGGCGCCTGGCGGGATCATTCGGAAGAGCGACGGATGCTTCGTGAACAAAAAGTGGCCTTCGAAGATCCAAGTACTTTGAGGGCTATACCGTCTGCGGCATGCCACCGACTCGTAGCATGCGCGCATGAGGGGCTTCGTAGGTCGACTGCATGTAAGGGCATGCTCCGTAGCTATGCCCTGAAAGGTGCCTGGGCATGTCGGCACTGCTGCATCGGCCAGCATTGCACGACCAGGCTTTCCCCGACATTGGCACAACCGGCCACTGAGAAACGCTTGTAGGATCTTCGAAGGAATCCTCCTAGAAGCCACATGCAAAGTGGGTCCCAAACCCTATACAGCCTACAATCCCTATAAGCCTGTAAACCCTATGTTCTGCTATAAACCCGATAAATCCGATAAGCCCAATAAACCCCATAAACCCTATAAACCCTACAATAAACCCCAAAAAACCCATAACCCCCACAAGCCACAAAGCCTAAACTGCAAAAGCATCGCCTTCCTTCGTCCCAGTAGCGCATCCAGTCTTAGCTCCCGGCTTGGCATCCAGCTCCCGCTGCAGCTGGAGCTTCTGTTCATCCTTGGCAAATATAAGGGATTTCATTGGAGTTGGGCAGGAAACTTTTGTGGGGTTTCCGAAAGTAGGGTACAGTACCCTGTCTTTGTTTTTTTTTTTTTTTTTTGGGGGGGGGGGGGGAACGTCTGCAAATATTACGAATTCCTCACTGCCCGAGCTGTTTAGGCCCCGGCAAGACACTTGCTCTTCATCTCGCACTCGGTGGCCTCTGCGTGGACATCAGCCATCCTCACAGAGCGATGCAAGTGCCCACAGAAGAACCTTCGAGGGGCTCACCTGAGGAAAGGCTTGTGGGACCCTGCAGTACCTGAGAAGACGCATTCTCAAGCCGAGCTTCCCTTTTCTCGCCTACTCAGGGTTTGGGGGGTAGGGGTTGGAGGAGCTTTTTTGGGGGGACAGCTTGTCCAACACACAGGCACTCGACCGACCTCACGCTCTGCTTCTCCAACTGCTCGCGGTTGTCTTGCAGCTCCTCAAACCGGAAGGCTCATGAGATCTAAGTAGGGCCATGAAAGACTGGGGCGTGCTTGAGGCCTCGCTTTCTGCCGACGGCGGCGAAAGATTTTGCTCCAAGCTTATAGTTGCTTCCACCCGGGCATCCTGAAGGTGTTAACAGTCCGATGAACGTTCCATTTTCAAAAACAGCATAGATTATAAAACAGTACCATGCCAAGAGGTTCCCGCAACTTGTCTACCCTCACCTACCTACACACTCCCTTACAATACTAGCTGAAGTTAAGGAACTGATCACCTAATTTTGGATCCTTACAACCCGATTGGGGTTCTTATAACTCTACTTATAACTTGGGGCCCCTCCTTGCAATGCTGAAAGCAGGCACTTTTTCGCGGGATTGAAGGGCGCGACCTCCTCGATTCCTCTTGTGGTCGCTATCAGTGCAGCTAGTTAGATGTGGTGAGTTCTCTAAATTATGGTCCCTTGTTGCGGTCCCTTGTTGCGGTACCCTAAATATTCGGGGCCGCATTACAACTTACAATAGAAACCCCAAATGTGCGTACATCTTGGGGGGGGGGGGGGGGGCATTCACCAAACTATGTGAGCGCAGTGGCAGAAGAAGCTTGTTGTAAAACACAATCGCATCAAGAAGCAGCATCTACCTGAAGTCATGTGGCTTACGTGGAGAACCCTGTAAAGAAAAGCAAGAAGCTGAAGAACAAGAGGCTGGCTTCAACTTAGGGTAAGCCCAAAGACTAGACTTCAAACCCTTTTGAACCTGGAAGCTGCTTCATGCCAGGACTGAGGGCCCTAAACCCTAAACCCGGAACCCTAAACCCTTAACCCAAGGCCTTCTGGAGCTTCTCCGCCTGGATGGTTGGGGCTGAGGAATTCTTCTGTCGGGGCGGGACGGGGAGGACGGGGGGCAGGCAGTCGGGGATTGCGGAGTGTTGGGGGTTTTTGTGTTCGAGGCTTTGGGGGTGCGGGCTTTGCGTGGGGCTTGGGATGATTTCGAGGGTTTAGTTTTCAGCTGGCGGGGGTGGGCCAGCAGGCGTCCAAGCCTGGAGCGTCTGCTGGTTGAGCTTTGCCTTCTTCTGCTCGAGGACTGCCTTTGCCTAGCAGCGGGTGGGCATCCAAGCTGAGGAACGTGCAGATCGATCTTGAACTATAACTATGTACCATAGAGCTCATAGATCCTACCCATTCTACTCATGCTACCCTTCACCCTTTTAGCACGTCCGAATTCAGGGAACCTACCGCATCTTGTTCATGACCAAGCACAGCAGTAAGCGTCGCACATCCTGCAGGGTGGAGCGCACGGGTGAGTCGCCATCCTGCAGATGGAGGTTTACGAGAATCGGGGACCACTAGTATAGACCTCCAAATACTAGGATCCCCTTATAATTGGAACCCCAATAAGGTACGCCGAATATCGTAAACTTCCAGAATTATGGGGTTTCGGGTTTAGGGGGTCACGCGGATGCTTGCTCAGCTTTCGGTTTGTGTGCTGCTTCTTGACACAACTAACTTACATTCAGGCATGCCGACCCTGCCGTCCGCTAGCTACGCCCAAAGCCCACACCCTAAAGTGCCCCTAAACTCGCAGATGCCAAAAGTTGGGGTCCAGGATCTGGGATAAAGGCTGTGTCTGGCGAGTCCTCTGCACGAAGCCCCTGTAGTTCCTCCTGCACCTGAGGGCACGGTTGCACTCTGGAGAAACATGGTTCCAAGACCTAGGCCCGATGGCCTAACCCTAAACCCTAAACCCTAAACCCTAAACCCTAAACCCTAAACCCTAAACCCTAAACCCTAACACCCTTCCTGAACCCGTCTGCAGGATGACTGCTCCGAGGCCAGGAGCTTGACTAGGCAAGAGCATGGGCGGCGTTGAGCGGCCCTCCTTCCTCCCGAGCCAACGGTTCAGGAAAGAGGCTTAGGGTTTTGGGCTTCTTGATGCTCCCCTTATACTGACAGTCCTTCATTGGGATTGTAAGAAGGGTACTATCAGCCCTATTAAGGACTGTTAGTATAAGCGGGAACATCCCGAGCACCACCCATTGAACAGAAAGGCCATGATGCATGACAGGAACGAGCAAATCGGGCATGAGACTGGCAAGAACAAAGAAACGAACAACATGTACTCACGTGAAGAGTTTAGTGTAGTTTGGTTTAGGGTCTCGTTCTGTTACAGCTTTCTAAAGCCCTAATTAATCCCTCATCCCTCAACCCTGAATCCACAGAAGTTGGGCTCCCCGCCATCTGTAGGCGCTTCGACGTCTCCCGGCCCTTCTGCTCGACTTCATCGAAGCGTCGCTGGGAGACCTTGTCAAAGGGAGGCTTTGTATACCAAATGGTTCTCTAAATCAGGCCCTTCTGGGGGCACTACTATAAGGCCCCTGAATATTTAGGGTACCTATCAAGGGACAAACATTTGGAGAACTGGCCACATGGACTTCATGTCAATGTTGTCTTGGAAACCTCTTGACGAGTTGTGCTCAAGAACTCTTAGGTGTCGGGCTCACGACTTTATTTGCTGGTGCGGGCTGAGATGAAACATAAGTCCAAAGTGGACAAGAACGTATCGCATGCCTTAGGTGTGACTGGGCAAGTCTGCGCGATACGCTAGGAAGCATACACAAACCCAGAACCGCAAACTGAGTGGGGCCTTGAAGCTCATCTTGCATGGACAAACTCGGACCCAACAGCAGAAGCCTTACGACACCTGGACAAGCAACCGCCCTTCCCGCAACACATTCGACTGTAGGGTTTATACAGGCTCAAGGGCTGACGGTTTAGGGTTTAGGGTTTAGGGTGACGGGGCGTTCTTGAGTATATTCAAACTGGCCTCTAAGTCGCCCTTCGCATTGACCAAGCTCGTTCGCGTCTGGTCCTTGGGGCGCGTGTGAAGTGTCGGAGGCCAGAAATTCCTCAAGGCGTACCAGCGCCATACATCCGACACCACCCCTTCTGGCAGTCGCTTCACGCCAGGACACTTCAAACTCAAGACCTGGAACCCAAGCCTATTATGTGGCCTTTGTGATTCGAGGCTGCCCCGTAACCTAGCAAAAACAGTGTTCTCTTTGTTTGGTTGGTCGAGTGGGGTCTTATAACTTATAAATGAAAAAGAGATCAGCAATCGGAATCCTAACCCTAAACCCTAAACCCTTTTGCATCCAGGCCTCTTCGGACACTGCCAGGCAAGAATCCACAAACCCTAGCACCTAACTCATAAAATACGGGACACAACCCCCTTTTGGACCCCAAGCCGCAAGCCCTGCCCGAGCTCGATGCGAGCTCCGCGGACAGCTGCGCTTTCTGCACCATCTGAGCCGCGGCTTCGACATGACTTCGGGTTTAGGGTTTAGGGCTTAGGGCTTAGGGTTTAGGGTTTGGGGTACAACGCACAAAGCAAGAGATCGCGAAAGCTTGTGCTGAAAGCTGACAAACTGCTCATCCGGCACAGGTGTTGAAACCCACCTATATTTCTGCTACACTGATGTAAACAATCAGAACCCAACCCTGTACTTACTGTTGGGCAGCAGGGAATGAGGGAAATGAGGTACCCTTTATATCCCTTAAAGGGTCTATACAGGGGAATATAGGGTACGTCATTCCCTCATTCCCTACTAACCAACAGTAAGGGTAAGGTCCTCATGATGCACGTAAGGTCCGGACCTCCTTCTCGACACGAACGGTTTCCTACAGCTTAGCGTGTTTTCGAAAAAAGGTCGGCTCTAGTAGCTTTGAGTGCCCTGAGTGATGCCCACTTTCTTTGCAGAGCTTTGCCGCTGAGCTTCGTCGTCAGCCCCGTGTACACACTACCATAGAAATCAGACCTTTGCAGAAGACTTTAGTAAGATTCCCTAAGGGCGTTCGCTGTGTTTTCCCTCGCTGGGACGATCGTGTGCTAACCTAAACAGCCCGGAGGCTCCTGTACACTCCCAGCTTTGCGTGGACGCTGTGACCCTTTGAGGCTCTCGCAAGTTTAGGATTTAAGGCATGTCTGCAAGTGCTGAACAGCTCACTGCCCGCCTCCATCTTCAATGACTTCTCCTTCTGATCCAGGACAGCCTTCGCGCAAACACTTCATGCATGATTTGCATGGTCAAAGCGCGTGGAGCAAATATGGACAACCGCGTCGACACCAAGAGCTCCACATGTTCAAGGTGATACAGTGTAACTAGGGCCCATTCCTGACGGACATCATCTGACATCGTTCGAAAGTTCGAACCCCAAAACTCAAACCCATGATGCACCTGGCGGCCCGCCAAGGAGCTGCGCAGCTCCAGCACCTCGGCACATGTCATGTGCAGATGCCGGTCCCTGTCCCCATGCTCCAAGTTGTTCACAGGGCCCGGCTTCGTCTCCCTTAGAGCCAAAGCATGATACTTCAGATGGTTTGTAGCCAGGATGAAATATGACTCAATGACAAAAAAGGGGACTGCAATTTAGATGCCTGCATGGAGGCCACTGCCCAGTCCAAGCGGCCCATCTCATGGGGAAGAGGTCTCAAGAAAGGGGTTGCTTTGGTAAACAAATGTGCTGTGGGTTGCTTTGGTAAACACATGATGTCCTGGACATACGGGAATGCAACATGGCATGGATAAGGTATCCCTTTCTACGAAAGTGCCAGCTCGGGTATGCAAAACAATTGGCACCAGCGCACCTGCCGCTTGGACTGATCGATGTCTTTGGCCAGTATCTGGCGACAACAAACTTCTAAACCACCACTCTCTCGCCAGCCTTCTTCTACAGGGCCCTGCAGCTGGCAGGAAAAGGGGAGGGGTTGCCATGGCCCTGATCTTAGCACCTTTCTGATCCTCCGAACTCACCAGTCGGGAAGGATGGGTTCACCTGCCCGGGTGAGCACCTCTACTTCCCAAATCTTAGTTGCAAGGGCCCTTTTTTTGGGATGTACGCTTCTCGTGTTGTCTTTAGGGTAGGACGTCTTCTTCGTTTAGTAGTCATACCCAAACGGACTCTTTCAGGAGCTTCTTACTAGCAAAGTTATAAGGGACCACAATAAGGTTCATGTGCTTGTCCTCCGGCGAAGAAGAGCAGGCGGCAATTCTTTTCAACTCTTCTACTAAACCCTGAGCCCGAAACCCCTGAACCCTAAGCTCCTGGTGAAAGGACAATGTCCAGATGCAAAGACGAGCCTCTGCCTGCACCTGGAAGCTTTTCGAGGACGCCTGCAGGCCAATGGTATTAGAAACGGCGGGCCCAATCGCAGTCCGCAATCCTGCCACTCTTTTCCGGGCGGTCAATCCTTTTCAAGCCGTAACTGCGGTCCAATCCATGATCCGAATCAATCCGCATTCCGGGCAGCGAGGCACCGAAAAAGCGTGTCTAGGTGGGGTGGCATTTCTTGGAACAGGGATACATACAACATTGGCATAACTCACATTGATTGACTCCGTGGATCTTTCCGCTGAGTAGTATGGGTTTTGGAAAGATTTCTGCGTCAGGACTACAAATTTCATGCTGCTTGCCAAGTAGTATGGAGTTGGGTAGGTTTCCCACGACAAGGTTACCAAATTCGTACCAGCGTGTTCTGCGAGATTGCGCGGGCTATTGTGGGTAGGCTTTCCCCACTTCTAGTCCAATCATCTCCCCAAAGTCACCTCTGAGAACTTGGGAGCCTTGGTGAAAAACACATACTCCGCCATCTCCCCCCCCCCCCCTGCCCATCCCCCAGCACTGGGCAAAAACAGCACGGAGGAGGGAAGTCAAGAGTTCCAACCCATGGAAGACTGGTACCCGAGGATGGAGACCCTACTGGCACACAGACTTTGTTTAGTCTCTTGTCTGTACTCGCCTTAGAACCACAGCCGCCGTATCTTCAGGCTTCTTTCCACGGCACTAATCGCCACGCAACAACAATCATAAACAAACTTTAGCTCCATATATACCATGTAAAAGAATAAAGGAGACTATACCTGCCCCGCCAAGCCGGATGTTCATCAACGGCGCCTTCGATTGCAAACCTGTTGATGCGAGCCTTCAAGTCCGACCTCCAAGCTCCCGACAAGAGAGACTGGTCACGTAGGGTTTAGGGTTTATAGGGTTTAGGGACCACACGCCCCCCCACCCCCCAATCCCAAAGTCTCACTAAGCTTGAAGAAGGAAAGATTCCCCGCAGGTGCCTCGAGACTGTTCTTCTGAAGGCCTTGCTCGGCCAGCGCCTAAGCAAGGAAAGTGCAGCACTTCGCGTAAGCTGGAACCACTCCCCTCATGATTTACTTTTCTGCGATATGCGATATATTCCGCGATATGCCTGTAATCGCATAGGACACAGTATAGGTAAAGGTATAATCCTTGGTTGACATGCTCCAGCACAGGCTGGTACTGGCACAAAGTTAGAAAACACTTGCGCTGCCTTGCCACTCCGGCTCGCTGCATAATACTGCGCATCTATGCATCTGCATTTGCAGGCGGACTGCATCCTGCATAAACACCCAGTATGCTGTATGCGTGCACCCACCGAAACTCGCTGTGTCTTCCAAAAGCACATGCTGCAGCAGAGCAATCAAGTGAGGGCTGACATTTTCCTCCTCTGCTTCTGGCTGAGGCCCGTCTGACTTCTACAGACAGCTGACAAAGAGGCCATCTTGAACTGCATGTACCAACAAGGACGCGTCATCAGTGATGTAGGAGGAAGTGGAAGATCCTCTCTGCACACGAGTTTGTCCTTCCAACCCTGGTGCCTGAGACTGAGGTGACGTGAACGCCAGGGAGCACGGTGCTGGCCGCAGGATGTAGGCCTTCACTTCTCTTCTGGCCTCTTGAACGCCGGATTCCTGCCCTCAACTGCTCTGGTGAAGTGTCTCAGCTGGGCATGGTCCATGGCCTTGGCACGGGTCTTGGACTGGAGCAAGTGCCAAGCCCTGTCGCCTCACAATGCACTGATGGCCGTGGACGCCTCTCCGCAGAAAGCTGCAAAGGCTCGAAGCTGTTTCCTCCAGTCTCGAATGCACTCGGAATCCTTGTAAAAGCACTGCTGAGTTCAGAGGTCCATGCAACCATACAACTCAATGGCCCGCAAGCAATACCAAGGATGCTGGCTTGATTCCCAGCCAGGGCTGCTGGCAAATGAGTTTCAGATTCTGTGCCTCGGTGCGGAGGAGTCGTGCAGGTGAAGGTCCCACTATTGACAACACTCAAACCGTGAGGTATCAAAGTCAGGGCTCTCACTGCATCGGGGCTCTATCAACAAACCCCAAAAAATCTGTATACATTTGCGTGTGCGCATCAACATCTACATGCAGACTTTGTGCGGGCGCAAAAAGCATGTAAAAGTATGTTCTACAAAGATGCGCACGTCAGCATCAAAACACTGCGAAGCCTGCAGAACCAAGCGCCAAGCAGAAGCCCTTAAGGCCCTTAAAGCCCTTGCACTGTCCGGGCGGAGCTGCGTCGCAGGCATCGTCATCCTGCTCGGCACTTTGGGGCATCGAACTGTTTTCTTGCGGGGCCTGTTACTAACTGATCTTCCTGCGTACGTACCTCACAGCAAAATCGTTGAAAGGCTTTGGCCGAATCTACGAGTACTGGCTTCAACGCTTTCGCAGGTGGGCAGCTGTCTGACTCGATGTTTTCGCGCTGCTCAGGCCTGTCTGTAACTGTATAAGGCTAAAAGGCACCGCTACTGCTGTCATATGCTGTGACAACACACGCTCTTTGGCGGGCAGGCGTAGGCAAAAATAGTCGTAGTAGGAAGCGCAACGCGCATCTGGTCAGTCGATGAGTGCCGCCACAAATAAGAGCGCCCCCACAAATGAGAAACCACCAAGCTAGTAGGGCCGCAGCTTTCGTTGCCCTGTCTGACCCCTGTGTCCTTGCCCTGACATCCGGTGTTCCAGCTCGACATCCCTGTCCCGCCACCGTGTCTTCAGGCGTGCCAGCTTCTCTGCCAGCTCTTTATGCCTCTGCTTGTGGCGCTCCAGCTTTTCAGCTGCCAGCTCTTGCTGCCGCTGCTCCTCTTCCAGCTCTTTCTTTCGCCTTCCCAGGTCCTTTTCATCTGCCAGCTTTTTCTGCCGTTGCTCCTCTTCCAGCTCTTTCTTTCGCCTTTCCAGGTCCTTTTCATCTGCCAGCTTTCTCTGCCGTTGCTCCTCTTGTTGCCGTCCCACTTCTTGCTTCCGCCTTTCCAGGTTTTTTTTTCCTGCCGCAGCTTCTCGTGTTGCTGCTGCGCCCATCCCCAGGCGCCAGCAATCCCCCCAACTCCCATGCCGATGCGTTTTTTCGTCCCGCAAAACGTTCTCGTGAGGGTCGATCACTCGCACTGGCCCCATTCTGCAAATGCACGATGCTTTCCCGAAGAGGTAGAAGGAGAACAGCACTGCTGCTAATCCCCATGGCTTTTTTCATGAGATGCCCAGCTGTATTTGGGATTTGTTGCACCCTTTTGACAAGATGGGCATCTCTGTGTTGAGGTTCACGAGCTCTGCGCCGGAAAGCAGCACTGGCAAAGAAGAAGATGGCCAAGAACAAGATGAACAATAGTGGGCCAAGCCATTTCTTGCCCCTGGTCTTTCCATGGGATTGACCTGAAGCTAATGGTCTTGCTGTAGCTCCTGTCGCATCCGCAACTTCTGAAGATAGTCTTTGCGACAGCGAGACACCAGACTGTGCTAGACTTTGCAGCAAATCTCCAGGCTGCTGAGTCTGCGCAAAGATGCTTGACGCCAGTGAAGTGCGGCCCTCCGTGCCACGAGTTCCATCGCTCACTGGCACCAGCACTCCGTGCGACTCTCTCTCTCCTGACCCGCTTGCCGAGAACGACGAGAATGAGCTCAAGGAACGAATCGGCTCTCCATCATCCCAAATCAAACGGTCTCTGACGATCGACCACAAGAGTTCGGGATGCTGTCGCATTGTGGTCTTTGAACTCACCTTCTCCTGTAAGTACAGCGGAATGTCACTCACGCAGTTGCCGTTGCAAAAGGATCTTGATCAAACAAGCTGTGTACTCGGTCACGTACTTCGACATGTCCAAGGGCTCGTCGTCCATGACTTGTCCAGGTCGGCAAGCAAAGTGAAGGAACGCCTGAGCAGCGGCGTTTTTTGCAACAGGTGATGCCATCGGGAAAAGCAGTCGAACTGATTTCGGATTTCTTGCCTCCTCTTGGCAGCAAGCAAAGTAAGCACAAAAACTGATTCCCTTCCGTGTCTGCACATAGTCTCGTAAGTTGATGAGATCGATCAACCAGCCGTCAGCTGACTCCATACAGTATGCCCTTTTGTCCACAGACTATGCCCCATGGCCAAAGAAGAACATAACCTGCTGGTTGTCTTCCCAACCTGGAGACCACTCAATTTACGGCGTGTCTCCTCAAAGGTCAATTTGTCCCAACGGACTTTGGATGGAGCCGAACGGAAGAATCGCAGTTCTCTAGTTGCTTGGCATCATTCCTGGCGCCTGGCAAGTTCTTGCTCTCATCATGGTACACGCTATTGACGAGCAATGCAACGTGCCAGGCGTGTGTTCTCTGCAGCGAGGCCGCAGAGGCAACTTCATGGCTCATTGGATTCCACTAGCACTCGCTAGGTCAGACTCGGCAACTTGCCTGCATGTGCACTCTTGCTAAGCACTCTCCAGTTCTGCACTTGTTCCCATGTTGCAGTCCCGTCCCTATAGGACAGTAATTAGGGTCGTGAGAGGAAAAACGCCGATGCGTGCAATATTGGCATGTCTCAATCACAAAGACGGGCCCCACCTTCAGCTTTAAGTGAAAAACCCGCGAAGACTAAGCTCCCAAGCTGAATCAAACCTTTGGGGTACGATCCTCCGACCAGAGGAACCAGGCCGGACGGACAAATACCACAAGCTGGGATGTTCCCCTTATACTAGCAGTCCATAGGGATTATAATAATGGGGGGGGGTGCTGGAATCCCTACTAAGGACTGTTAGTATAAGGGGAACATCCCAAACAAGACACCGTGAATCCCGAACTCGGGAGTGCAGTCGGGCCTCGTTGAGACAGGCCCGTGGCCGCTGCTTTGACCAAGTAGAGAGCATGCGCTAAGTGGAAACGAAATCGGGTAGTCCACGGCAAATGCCAAATCCATGGCTTCTCAGCAGCCATGATGGCCAGAAGAAGCCTCAGTCTTCTGGTGAAAGCCCCGCAGGACGTGAAGGACCTGCTTTATAGGCGGTAAATAAAAACATATCAGGAGCCCAGACACATGGGTGTAGCTTCAGGACGCTGGGCCTCCAGTTTCGGCCACCAGTCTGTTTTTCCAAGCTGCTGCGAAAGAGGCCCCTCATCCGCCTCCCAGCAAGTACCATTGTGTAGCATCTCCAGGAAGCTCCCTGGCTCCAATTGCAAAGAGTCTTGCGTGCTTCGGGCGTCTGGCGGATCAGGGTCTGCACGCTGAGTGTCTGCCGGCCCATCAGGAGATTGCGATGAGTCCAAGGTGAAGCTGGGGCAGTTCCGCATCAGCCAATCGGCGAGTGCGCGGCACACGGTGGGCGCAAGCAACTCCATGCCCGACGTCCGCCCGCCATCTGCCAAAGGATCGCCGAATTCAACAGAACGGGTCCCATCCTCGTGCTCCCATGTCCAAGCAGTGTTGCATTCTGTGCACCTGCCTTGGGCAAGGCCGCTGATGCAATGCAGCAGCCCAGACCAGGGTGTCCAGGAGGTCTCGTCCTCCTCTTCACCCATGACTTGCTCTTGAGGGACTGTTGGGACTTCGTCCACCAGCTGATCCAACATAGCGTCCGGCCCCGCAAGGTGCCCCACTAGCTTGGCACCCGTTGGCGGACTCCGACCGGCCCAACTACCTTCAACTTCTTCGCTTGCGCGGCAAGCCTCCAACAACGCCGACAAAGCCGAGCAGACGAGCCTGGTTCGAGCAGAAGGGGCCTCTCGGCTCCTCCAAATCAGTGCAAAAGCAACTGCCAGTGCCAGCCGTGGCGAGGGAGCAAGGTCAAGAGTCCGGACCTTACCAGCCTCCGTGCTGGCAGTAGTCACCTGCAGTGCTGTTGCTTTGCACAGTGGCCGGGCACATGGTCCAATGCAACACTAACACCCAAGGCAAAGCAGCCCCACACCCTACGTCCAGCCGTGCCAAGTCCACCATTCCAAGGAGCCCGCCCCGCCCGAAGACACCCCCAACAGCTACCATCACAGAATACATACACATAGACAAAGACAAAGACATAGACATATACATATATGTATATATGTATATGTATGATTTGTCGATGCAAACTTCTATTTCAACTAAGGTTGGCAAGTGGACAACTCTTGACGTGCAAGGTTTCTATCGTCACTGTTGTTTATGCTTGCGGCCATGCAGCGGTGGCTCCACGCAGCAGCAGTGCCAGCAGGCCCTGCGTTAGCCGTCCGCTGCCGAAATGCTGGAGCCCTCGCAGGCGCAGTATGTGCGTGGCTTGCGGATGTACCTTGATTATATGAAAGCCCAACACATTTTCCCTAAGCATCCTTTACAAAGGGCTTCCAATAACGCCCCCCCCCCCCCCCCCCCAACAACGCATGCCAGCCGGAATTTTTTGGGGCTTAACTTAATGGAGAAAGGTGCCCAACGAGAGCATTCCACACATGAGTCGTCGTGCTCCAAGCTTGGCCGATGATGGTCAGGGCCTAGATCTTTGATTGTTCTTCAGTCACGTGCCCACGTGCCTGCAGCCCAGGATTGTGAAGTGAATCCGTGCTGCAACCGCCCTTGGGCGGCCACCTGGCTCAGCCTCTGACAGCACACAAAGGAGTACTCGGATACCTACTGAGACCGAAGGTGCGCTAGACAACGCTAGAGCTTGCAGCTACAGGTACAATTCTTCTCCGCTCACACCGCTTGCGCGGACTCGAGACACGACAAGCCTTGGTATTGTCACGAAACTGAACGGAACATCGTCCCCTCTTCCCGGAAAGAAGTCCCCTGAAAATATCGCAAGCTTAACTGCATCCGACTTTGGCTTCCTTCTACACGGCAGTGTGCATGTGTGCATGCACCCATTATTACCTTGAGCACATGGCAAGGCGAGCCCAGACACAACAGCAGCCGAGCTGTCCAGCAGCCCCGAAGCAGCTGGGCCGCCTCGCAGCAACAAGTCTGGGGGGCAAACTCCTAAATCAAGGAAACTTCAGCCGCGACACCCCAAACCATGAACCCTAAACTCCAAGAACCGGATGCCCCCCAAGGGCGAAACTATTGTAGGATCGACAATTAGGGCGTTGATTGCGTATATGCAAGGTCCTGTCCCCCAAGGCTAGAACAAGCTTTCGAACAAGCACATGGAACCTGAACACTCAAGGCAGAATCCACTACAGAGACTTCCCGGGTGAGTTTCTCAGGAGAACAAGCTAAGCCTTTGGGTTTCCAACGGTTGATCATTCCCAAAACGTTGCCGACTCCGCTGAAGCAGGATTCTGAGCCCGGTCCTCCTGCACAGGATGGGGCACTAGAGTCGGCGCAAGCCTGGGCCCAGAGTGTTTCGGGTTTGGGGGCGTGTAGGACTTAGGGTGTGGGGCGTAGGAGATTTAGAAATTTTAGGGCTTCGGCTGACCTGGGCCCTGCAACACCCGTGCGCCCAGGTGCAGCGAAGGACTCGGCTCCGAAGGTGCCGCGGGTGAGGCTGGCGCCTGCACCTCACCTCAGGGGCCGCGAGCTGCGCAAGAAGCGCAAGCGCAAGCGCACAAAGGGGCGAGGCAAAGGGTCCGGGTCGTTCCACCGGGTTGGGGGTCTGCATGGTGGTTCATCAAGGCAGACAGTCTGTAGAGAGTTGCCAAATCAAGAGAGGTTCATGGAACCTCCACTTCCCTGCTTGTTTTCTGGGGGCCTTTATGATAAGTTAGAAGGGTTGTCTTGTGTTGTGCATTCTTTGATTTTTGCAATTATAGGGATGAGGGCTCTTGTATTACAGTAGCCTGTGCTCGCTGAAGGTGTTCTCGGGTCGGTGTGAGGCGGCGCTCGCTGGGAATACTCAGGGGCGAGTCACGCAGCTGCACCAGCCACCATGCGTCAAACTCCTGCTCTGGCTCTTGGGTTGAGGTTGCCCTATGGGCGGCCATGTGGTACTCAGATTCTGAGTGAGATTGAAGCCGTACATCTGCAGAAGACTTACAAAGATGAAGATCTGTGCTTGATTACATTGGGATTTGGGAAATAGTGGGAAATAACGGGGAAATTGGGAGATACCGGGGACTTGCACGCGATTTCATAGCATGCCAGCTAATGGGGTTTCCGAAATTAGGGGTACAATAGTGGGGCCCTTGCTATCAGGGAATGTCGCTGTTTGGGGGGTCTCTATTAGGGCTCCCTTCTTTTCGGAAACTCCCATATGGAACTCCGAAGATACACCCCAGCATGCGGCCTGCTGCACCGAGTCGGCGAGCTCCGCGAAACTGGATGGCGGCTTGCCCTGTGCGCCGCTCACCTCTGCTCATCATGGCGCTGTGCGGGTTTGGGGTTTAGGGTTTAGGGTTTAGGGTTTAGGGTTTGGGGTTTAGGGTTTAGGGTTTAGGGTTTAGGGCTAGCATCCCTCTTTGAAGTATGCTTCCCCTCAACCTCGGGATGTTCGCCCTTCTACTAGCAAAGTCCTTCGTAGAATTGTAATAGGGGGGTACCATCGTCCCTACGAGGTTTATAAGCCTGGGAGTATAGCTGCTAAGACGTGGCGTCCTACTTGCCAAGCAACATTGTGATCCTGCTTCTCAGGACAAAGGATGATGCACAATGCATGTAAAGGTCGCCTTCTCCGTCCACCTCAACATCTGAGGAAAAACCACCTCCTGGCCACTTCACCCCTCCCTGATTCGAGTATATGCGTAGAAATTACTCATATGTTTAATGCAGGATTGGGGCGGTCTTTATACAACTGTAGGGGGAGAATTGTAGCGACCCCAGACCCGGCCTCATGATAAATAAGCGTTGGCCCAAGGGGCAATCACGGTCACGTGATCATGAACCCACGTCTGCCACGCAACGCCGCGCATGTCCCTGGGAGAGGGCATGCCATCATGATAAACTACGAATCCCACACGGCGAAGATGGTGTGGGACAAGCGTTGGGACAAGAGTGCGCTAAAGAACCTGCGAGATCTCATGCCCATTGAGCTTCATATGTCCCACGCATGAGACTTCCATCGTGCTTGGTCCGTTGTTTGAACCCGCACGCCCGAAAATCCTCGACACCTCAACCCACCCCAAACCCTCCAAAGCCTTCCGAAACCCTGTAATCAGCCCAAATAATAAACACTACAAAATCCTACAATAAATGCAAACCCTACCAACCCTCTAGACCCTGAAGCCTCACACGCTTCGCCTTGGGCCAGGGCTGCGAGGGCCACGCTTGTACCTGGCGCGCAGGGCTTGAAGGCACAGGACCAAGGACAAGCGGATTCGATCTTTTCGAGAACTGCCCACTTCTAAGCCCTACCCCGAAAGCCTCTACTGCCCAATTTCCAAAGCCCAAACTCAGCGAAACCCTTGGGTAGCAATGGTCAGGACCCGCTCTGACTCACTCGCACCTGGAGTGTCCCATACGCTGCACTACTCTGTGCATGATATTGCCTGCACCGGTCAAGCTCCTCTTGATCCCCCCAACGCAAGGTCGGTGGCTGCACTCGCTCGGCCCATCACGAAACGCGCGGCAGTGGAGAACGACCTGAAGTGCCGAACAGAATGCATGAAGACAAGAGACAAAAGCCGCCAAAAGGCAAGCAAGCTCACGAGTCTTCCTAGAAGTTGAGGCAGCACTCGGACTGCAAGTATGAACAAGCCGCCGCTCCAGCTGGCTATGCTCAGTACAGGAAGCTGCCATGTCAAAAGTTGGGTGGACAATGGTGTGTAGGGCAGTTCCTGCATGGCCGCAGCCAGGGTGCCAGCAGCATCACCACCAAGGACAGGAAGCCTGCCACATCGGAAAGTCCAGCGGGATGCCCCGACTCGGCGTCCTGTGTTGCACAGGTTCAAAGAGCTCCGGGGGCACGGCTGGCTAGCTGCAGGTGATCTGATCTGAATTGCTGAGCAAATCTGCCTGGCCTCATGATTCCGAACCCACAAGGGTTAAAACTTAACTCGGAAACCTCAATACCGGTTCTCTCGCCCATCCTCATCCCAGTGCTGTGCATCGCGTCCGGGCGGGCTATGCAGTGCCGCAAGCCGCGCGGCCACCTGCATCTAGTCTTCCGAGTTTCAACATGTTTTTTCTTCGGTGCTTGGGAGGTCTGCATGGTCAGGTGTTCTTCTGCGCCAGAAGATAAGTTTGAATAACTGCAACGTCAGACCAATGTGCCCGTCTGTGGGAGCAGGAATCTGGGTCTGGCTTACAACCACATCTCTGTAGGTGTATAGTAGCAGTATGTTGCCTTGCAACGCCTTAGCACACAAGATGCTGGCCCTGCTTCCCACATAGGCGTATCTTCCGTCGTACCAAACTCCATGGACCGAGTTTACAATCCCTTGATTCTTCTCCTGCCTGCGGCCAATGCGGCATCAGCACCTCCACAACTTGGGCTTTGGATGCACACTCAACTGAGCTACGGAACTTGAATTAAGTTACCATGATAAGGAAAAATACCATATAGCCATGAGCCGGCAACCAGATTTACGTTCCTTAACCTTTACCCAGTCGGCAAGTGGGGGGCACCCCTTCATGGTAGGATTCCCTATACGTAGGTTGTGGTAGTTGGTTTTTTTGCAGGGGGAAACGCTCATATCGAACTAAGGAAGGCACCTGGAGGATGCCAGGAGCCACCTCCTGCATCGTTCCGGCATGCTGCGCCAGGTCACCTCTTTGCTGTGCCATGGCATTATTGTTTTTTTGTTGCCACCTGCCTTGCTGATGGTAACATCGCACTGCAGGAAAACACACATTGTTCTATGATGGCCTGGGTTTAGGTTCTTGCCTTTAGGGTTTAGGGTTTTGGGTTTAGGGTGACTAGATCTGAAAATGCTGTTGAAGCCTCTGTCGCGACAAAACCGGGTCCTGGTCTCCATCAACCGAACAATCTTCAACCCCAATGAGTCACTGATGAGCGCCCCTCGGTAAAGCAAGGTGTTCAGACAAGAATTCTGGCCCTCACTTTCTTTGCGCCGTCAACAAAGCCTTTTGGAGCGCGCGTTTTGGCATGAATCTTCTCGGAATTCAATTATAAGCAGTTATTCTATGTATTTGTGCATTCGAACCATGGCACATCTTCTCAGAAGTTTAGCTTCGAGCAAATTTCTCTCGTACCGAATGTCCCGAAGCCCTGGACCCTGCTTTGGCTTCATACCCGCTATGAATGGAAGGCCCTGGGGTCATGTGGGTCGAGGACCCAGGAACCAGTTCTACGGGGGGTGGATCCCTACATGCGCTGATACTGAATGCTCCCCCGATTCGGTGTGAGGTCTTCCAGGGCTTGGGGCTCTCTAGAATTCGAGACCTTGCAAAAGCCGAGTGTCTGAAGCACTCGAGCAGAACTCGTAAGGGCACCTGCAGGCCAAGTTAGCCATCTATCCGAGTGGTGATGATGGGGATGCAAAGCAAAGCACAGTAAGACAACGTCCCCCACGTGTTGCAACTCCAAAGCTGATTGCCCTAAACCCTAAACCATAAACCTTTTTGAACCCAAAACCCAAAACCCCTAAACCCCTGAACCCCTGAACCCGTGAACCCTGCACGCTAAACTCCCCAAACCCTTGCTGCCCCGCACCTCCGGGCTGGAACGTCGTCCCCACAAAGCCAGCGCCGAGCGAACCCCGCCGGACCCGATCTGCTCCCACCTTGCAGCGAATTTGGGAGAAGCTCCCAAACTTGTGTTAACAAATCCTGCTTCTTTCACGGGACTCGAGACCCCCAAAGCGGAAGTTCGGGTGGGGGGTGGCGGAGGCTCCTTTTGTTCCGTTACGTAGACTTGAATAAGCTGCAGTTCGGTCGGAAAAGTGCAGCCCAGACACCTGTCTGACAGGACCTTGCGCCCTGCATCCAAAAGGAGCACATCGATATCTACCTGAGCGAACCGGGCGCGATTGGGCACAAGGCTGGCGGACACCACAAGCAATCCGCAGACTGCTTCCATGGCACATCTAAAGCCCAGCAGAGCAGTGGGAGCACAGCTTCAAAGTCCTCTCGCAGAGCCTGACCTCGTGGACCAGGCAAGACTCCAGCGCAAGGCCATGAGAACAGCATGGAGGCTGCAGGGCTCAGGGCGATGTGGGGATGCATGGGGGGCCTCCTTCCGGCTTGTCCACGCTCTCTTGAGGTTGATCTGCTTCTTCAACCGGAAGCAAGGCTGCGATCGACTCCGACCTTGGTGCTGAAAGGTTCAAGGTGCCAATTCGCTGTGCTCATGCAACGATGACCGAGAACATCTCAAGGCAAGGCGCTGCAAGATCTCGCAAGTACGCTCTGGTGAGGCTGCCAGCCGAAACACTTCGTTCGCGGTCCACAAGAAGGCCAACGTGGTGTCCCTCGCCGCGTTCGCACAGCTGTTTGACTGTCTTCTTGCTGCCCATTGGGACGCGAACCAGCTTTCATTATTTGAACATGAGGCAGATGGTGCAAAATCATGCCGGGTCATGCAAACCTCATCAATTCCCCCCCCCCCCCCCAGCCGCCCCCGGCGGTAAACAAACGACAAACATTTAAACCCTAAGTGCCTGCCATCTTCGCCAGACCACGCGGGATATGCCGGAGAGGCCCCGACGATGCGCCCAGGAACCTCCAACTCTTGCACCTTGCATCTTTCAGCGGCCAAGATGTCATTCAGAACCCAAGCTGTCTTTACAGGGCACATCTCTACTGCACCATTGTTGGGGCACGAATAAAGCATGATCATTGTTGCCCCTTTTTGGGCTTAAGTATTCATAAACATGTAACATGCCTCTCAAGAATATAACAGCCTATATATGTATATAATTAGCATATGTTTGTCCACAAAACTCAGCAGGGATTCTTACCTGGGGTAAGCTTGCAGCACTCGAAGTACTGAAGCCTGGAAACCAAGCTGCTGCTTTCTGCGGGCTTTTGGAGCCGAACGATCTAGGCTCCCCCTTTTGAACCGCAGCAAAAATCCTACATGTGCGTGTATACATATATATATATATATATCTGTGTGATCAGGTTGTACAAATGCAAAGACAGAATTTCTTAGGAGACTACAGCTAGGCCCACTGAAGCCACTTCACACCTGGGCGCCACAGTGTTGACAGGCCCGCTGCGTGCTGCGAAGTACGGCTGCGGCTTGGCCGTCGTCAGAAGCACCTGACTCGAAGGAAAACTTCTTAAACTTAAACTCAGGTAAACAAGCACAGCTTGCGTGAGGCCAAGAAACTTTCCCAAGCCAGTGTCGAACCCCCCCCCCCCCGACTAAAGGCAAAAGAAGGGCAGGCAAGATGCAAGGCTCTTCGTCTCGGCTCCGCCCATGCGCAGCACCTCACGGGCCAGCTCGGGCTTTGCGCAGCATCTTTTGCGTGTTGAGACCCCAAGAGCCCCAAAGCATCAAAAGGAAAGTACCCGAAATGATACCAAAGGGTCATCAAGGGTCCCTTATATGTAGAGCCACTACGAGGTATGCTTCTTAGCTAACATAAGAGCCTTAATAATTAGGATTGGGGGTCATTATACTACATTTATCTCAGGACCGCAAGGAAATATGATTAGTAACCAGTCCGACCCCTATATATTACAAGGGGCCAAGTCCCCTCTCTACGGTGCCAAGAAGAGGGAGGCGCTGAAAGGAAGAGGCCGCCACCCAGAATCAGCACCAAGTCCACCAGTCTTCGGCCTGAGCAGAGTTCCAGGTTTAGGGTTTAGGGTTTAGGGTTTGGGGTTTAGGGTTTGGGGTTTGGGGTTTAGGGTTAGGGTTTGGGGTTTTAGGGTTTAGGGTTAAACGGTTTACGGTTTAGGTGGTTGCCTGTTCTAAGACAAATGGGAGAAGGGCTATGTTGTAGAGTTTCATCAAGCGGAGAATCCTGGCACTTTGGTGGAGCCGCTCCAGGGCCAGAAGATCATAAGAACCGAAGCGGTTTAGGGTTTCAGGGTTTAGGGTTTAGGGTTTAGGGTTGAGGGTTTAGGGTTTAGAGTTTAGGGTTTAGGGTTTAGGGTTTAGGGCACGAGGTCATCCAATTTGTTTGGGGAAAAAGACCATCGGAGTCAGGCCGAGGCCGGCGGTAACCCATGCAACCCTGAAAAGCCTAAACCCTAAACCCTAAACCCTAAACCCTAAACCCTAAACCCTACACCCTAAACCCTAAACAAAGTGTCTGCTAACAGAAAGCCACAGAGAATCTCTGAATCTTAACACCTTAATAAGCCCTATAATACCATAAGCCCTTGAAGCTACTTCTACACGCCCCCTAAGCCCTCACCCTTGAATCCTGAAACCCTGAACCCTACACCCTTTTTAACCCCTGGGCTGAGGCCGGGACGCGCGTATCATCCATACACAGGCAGAAGACAACCCTACACCCTAAACCCTAAACCCGAACCTCACATGCTCCCAGGCGCCGGCAGCGCTCGGTGGAGCTGCGCTGATAGGCAAGTCCACGCGGGCCAGTGGATCCTCAAAGCTTACAGGTTCCTGTGAATTAAGGTGGTTTAGGGTTTAGGGGTTATTGGGACTATGACTACAGGGTTCGTAGCATTCTCTCTCTAATTTTTCCGATTATGGGGTTCTTAGCATTCTCTTTCTCTCTCTCTCTCTCTCTCTCTCTGCCGCGCCATCCCCTAGGGTCTTGCTACGCAAGGGCACGAGAAGTAGGCTAGGATCTCAGCAATAGGGCTTGAGTTTTTCCGACAACAAATACTGGCCGCTTGCCCTTCTAAGTGTTTAGGCTGCCCCAGTATACCCTTGGATTGGTTTCTCCGTAGAGCCTTAAGGGCATGCTGGTGTGGCAGGTTTTTGAAGCAAGAGAGTCCTCCGGGAAGGACGGCAGGGAGAGCAGCATGCTCAACTGATGCTCCCCAGAGCACGCTGCCGCCTCATCCACAAGCATTCCCAAGACCTCGTTCTCGCGACCCTCGAGCAAAGTCTCGCTACGGCCCCGTTTCACAACCAGCAGCATGTGCAGTGTAGGCATGCCCGTCCTTGGGAGCTGCTGCAGTGGTGGACCAAAACTCTAGCACCCGAAAAGCATCCCCCAACCCATTGTCTTTCAGCTCCTCCTCGCCCTCCTACCAACAGTCACGAAAACATAGTTCCAATCTCTCTTCAAGCAACAATGGCTCAAGTTCAAAGTGTTCGCTGGAGGATGTGGGCAGCGCCTTGCAAGGAAGTCCAGAAAATTGCACATGCAATTCATGCAATAACGTAGTGCACTGCTCTTCGCAACTACCAAGCACTCGTGTATACATAATATGTATAATATGTATAATATATATATATATGGGTCACCGCCTATAGCGGTTCCCCTGTGTTTTTTTGCACATTCCCTTAAACCATCTAACCAAGAATCCCTCAAACCATTAAACCAATGGTCTCCCCCTAAACCATTAAACCATTAAACCATACCATTAAACCATTAAACCAATGGTTTCCCCCTTCTGAAAATCCCCTAAACCATTAAACCATTAAACCATTAAACCAATGGTTTCCCCCTTATGAAAATCCCCTAAACCATTAAACCATTAAACCAATGGTTTCCCCCACATGAGAATCCCCTAAACCATTAAACCATTAAACCATTAAACCAATGGTTTCCCCCTTATGAAAATCCCCTAAACCATTAAACCATTAAACCATTAAACCAATGGTTTCCCCCATATGAGAATCCCCTAAACCATTAAACCATTTTCTTGGCGGGCAACCATTGGTTTAATGGTTTAATGGTTTAATGGCTTAATGGCTTAATGGTTTAAGGGATTTTCATAAGGGGGAAACCATTGGTTTAATGGTTTAATGGTTTAATGGTTTAGGGGATTTTCATAAGGGGGAAACCATTGGTTTAATGGTTTAATGGTTTATTGGTTTAATGGTTTGATGGTTTAATGGTGCTCCTGCCGAGGTACCTCGACCGCATCTTTTCTGCTCCTAAACTTCTGATTCGCAAGCAGTGTCCCCTGTATCCTTTCTGCTCCGAATATTCTGAATCGCAAGCAGTGTCTCCCGTATCTTTTCTGCTCAGAAGTATACGTATACTATATGGGATTGCGCCTTAAACCCTAATTCTTAAACTTTAACTCTATAGGGCTTAAAGCTTCGGGTTTAGGTTGAATTGCCGGCTTAGGTTTAAGTGCCTCAATCATAAACCCTAAACCTGTCAACCTTAACCCTCTAGGGTTGGGGCGCCTACATCATGATCGGATTTGACGAGCTCTGCGGAAATTTCTATATGACAAGGTTATAACTTATTGCTGTGGTTATAACTATGGGTTAGGGTTTGATTTTTATACACTTATGTAAACCCATAAGAATAAGGGGAGCCCCATCACGCCCCCAACAAGCGAAATATCCCAAATACTTTACCTTAGCTAAAATATCTCAAGCAACCATCCCCCGATACGCAATTCCTGAATTCTATCATTTAACGATATAGTTTGTGTATATGTTGAATCCCAGCAAGTAGTGAAAGTGACGAGCTCTGCGGATATATGTACATGACAAGGTTATAACTTTTTGCTGCGGTTATTACTATGGTTCAGGATTTGATTGATATACATGTAAATTAGCCTATAAGAAAATGAGGGTAACGGTAACCCCATCACGCCCCAAAAAGCAAAACAAAACCTCTATCCTAAAATCTTTACCTTACCTAAGATAGCTCAAGCAAAACAAAAACTCTATCCTAAAATCTTTACCTTACCTAAGATAGCTCAAGCAACCATCCCCCGATAAGCAAAACTTGAATTATCCTCTTTGTTTATATTTTGAATCCCATGAAGTAGTGGAAGGACATTTGCTCACAGTATTCTCGCGTCACCGGGACGAAAGCGCCACAAACGTAGGCATAACCCTATGGGATTCAAGGTTTGGGGATTTGAGCCCCGCGCTCTGGGGTTTTAAGGTTCCATTGTATAGGTAATTAATGCCCAAACCTTAAACCTAAACCGTTAAACCCTATAGGGTTCAATGGTTCGACA